CCCCCGAACCACCAGGGAGCGTGGAGAATCAGGGTGTTTTTCCATGCAGAGAGTGTGAGAGGTACCTGGCCTTTTCCTGGAGATTCTCACAGACGGTCCCTTCCTTGAGTCACCAGCCTCCCTCCCTCCTCTGACTCCTTGCCCTCTGGTAACTCCTCAGGGTGTTCGACAAGATCAAGAGTCGGAATGCCCACATGAAGCGGCACCGCCTTCAGGAGCATGTGGAGCCTGTTGTCAGAGTGAAGTGGCCTGTGAAGCCATTCCCACTAAAGGAGGAAGAAGAGGAAGAGGAGGAGGAGCTGGGGACAGACATTGGCCCCCTGCAGTGGTGACTTCCTGCTGGCAGCTAGTCTGCATGGGGTCTTCAGCCCTGTTCACCTTCCTGGCCTCTCTGGGGTGTTTGGGGCACCCCTCTGCCTCCTCCCACCCTTTCTGCCTCCCATTGGCCAGCTTCGCTAGCAAACTTGGTGGGCATCTGACCATAAACAGGCAGAGAAGCCACGATTGGACAGCTCTGAAGTCTCATCGACGGGACAGGGGCTCTGTTCTCTTTAGGTTGATCATCTCCCCTTCTTTCAGTCCCAGATTGCCTAGAGAGCAGGGAGGCTTGTAGGGGCAAAAGGTCAGATCTGGATAGCTCTTAAATCTTAGCCTCAGTGTTGGGGTTTGTTATATGCTTAGATAAGGCCAAGGTGGAGAAAATCAGTGGGGAAACACCTTAAGATCTCCAACGTTTTGGGTCCCCCTCCGGAGCAGGGCCTTTCCGCATTCCAGAGTCCCTTGTCTCGTGATGACTTGTACATTGTTTAGTGTGTTTTTGTACGTGTCTACTTGTAAATCTTATTAAATTGGGTTCTTGAGCAGCTGTCTTCTGACTTCCAGCCATGGATCCCACAGAGGCTTCTGGGCCACAGCCACCTGTTCGGGCGGAGAGAGGCGAGGCTGAGGCACCTTCCGGGAGGGCCTGGTGAAGTTGGACGTGTCCATATGTGTGTCAGTCCAGTATGCATTTATTAAGACTTTGCAGTAGGACATGCCAGACAGTTCCCAGTCCTTGCATGGGGATGTGGTGAACAAGAGTGACAAAGCCCTTTTCTTCAGGGAGATTCCATTTTAGGAGCAGGAAGGTAGAAGCAATAAATAAGCAAACAAGGTGATTTTAGATAAGACAGGAGGGGACATGCTTTGTCCGTAGTAACAGAATGATTTAAGCATCAGGACACTGGTGGCTCTAGTGGCTCAGCTGTGAAATGAAGGACCCCTGGCGGCAGGCGGTGGCAGTACCTCACCTGTAGCAGAGGCCAGAGGGGCAGGAAAGAGCAGGGCCTCCTTCCCTGTGTTTCCCAAGGGAAACCTGAAGTGCTTTCCAGCAGACTACCCCTTACACCTCATTGGTCAGGACTTCAGCCTGTGCTGAGTTCTAAACTGGTCCCTGACAGAGGGAAGGAAAATGACCACAGTCGTCTTGAACATTCAAGATCTGTCTCCAGGACAGGGGAAAACTGTTCCCTGAAGCTTGTTGCCACCTGAACAAAACTTGAATCCTGTTAGCCAAGAAAAGAAGACAAAACAAGTGGCCACTGGGCAGAGCAGACCACTGTGTCAGCTACAAAATAACATGAAGAAAATGATGATGCAGAGGACACGGCAGATGTTAAGTGGGCACATGGGGAGGTTGAGATCTGGATCCCAGGCCATAGCATAGACGGGAGACCAAGCTAGACTCTGCCATGGGAAACTAGCCGAGGGTGTTAGGCCAGGAAATGGCATCTCAGGTGCCACTACAAACAACTGCATAGCTGAGCATGGTGGCACATTGTAATACCAGTGACCTGGGAGGCTGACACCAAAGGATTGCAAATTTGAGGCCAGTTTGAGTAACTTAGAGGGACCTTGTCTCAAAAAATAAGTAACTGGGGTGTAGCTCAATGGTAAAGCACCCCAGTACAATCCCAGAAACAAAAAATAGAAAAAAGAACACCAACAACAAAGTTGTTTTTGTGTGGTGATTGAAGAGGGTGAGACCGGAAGCTCCCAGAGTAGATGGAAGGCTCAAAGGTAAGATGATGATGGCCTGGGCTGGCAAAGAGGGCCAGAGGCTTGGGGATGAGGCATATATTTTAGAAGTGGAGTCCATGGGCTTGTTAGTTTGTCACACAACAGGGGGAAGGGTAAGGAAAAGATCAAGGTCAGCATGGTAGGTTTGGGGTGAGCAGCTGAGGCAATGCAGTTAACTCCAATGGGAAAGAGTAAGGGGAGAGGATTGATTGAATCCTGGCAGGAAGATGTTTGCACTAGTGTCTTCTGTGTCCTGAGTAATGGCAGGGCAAGAACAGTAGGAGTAGTGTCAGACGGTCTCACAGAGGGGCCTTTTTGAAGCAGTTGGAATACTTTTGTTAAAGGAAAGGGTTCAGGCCTCCAATGAACCTGAATTTGCACCCTGGCTCCTCTTCTGTCATTGTGACCTAGGGCAAGTCACTTTCCTGCTTTAGCCTCAGTTTTCTCTATTTGTAAAATGGGAGGAAGAGGCACCATGGTGCAGGCCTGTAATCCCAGCAACTCAGTAAGTTGAGGCAGGAGGATTATAAATTCAAGGCCAGCCTCTCTGACCTAGCAAGAGCCTCCAAACTTAAGTGAGGCCCTGTCTCAAAAAAAAAAGTGACTAGGGATATAACTTAGTGGTAAAGTGCCCTTAGTTCAATCCCCAGTATTACAATAATAATGATGATGATGATGGGTGTGGAGAGTGCCTCCCACCATGTATCAGTTAAGTGAGAAAATATAAATTAAGTCCCTGGCAGATGCACCTATGACCTCTATCTACTACTATTTAATGTGCATTCTATTCTGATAATGTTTGGGTCCAACAAATGACTAAATTCAATGACTCTGGAAAAGAAAGACTGGCTTAAAGGGTTAGAATGAGTTCATTATCTTTTGCTGCTGAACAAATTACCCTGAAATTTAGCAGTTTAAAGCAAATGGAAGCTTTGATGTTAGTGTTGCCTTGACAGGGGAAGAACTGAAACTGCGCATGATAATCCAGACTGGCCCTGCCCGCTCTGTGGTCAGAACACAGTGGTGACCATACAAGGGAGTGGTTCAGGGGAGCCTAAGGAGGAAGGGAGCTTAGGTAGCTTTTGGTACCCTACCCAGCCAACACCCCACCCAAATAACAGTGTTTGCTTAAATTTTGGGCCCTGAATTATCTGCCTCCTAATCTGCTGGGGTTCTATAAAGGGGAAAAAATACAGATTCCTGTGCTCTGCACTTTCAGAACTGGAATTGAGGGTAGGTGCTTGGAACCTACCCTTTTAGAGGGGGCTATTGTTTCCATGGTACAACACTTGCCTAGCATGTGCAAGACCCTGGGTTCAATCCCCAGCACTACAAAAAAAAAAAAAAATTTAGAATAGTTTAAAATGAAAAATTGGCAAATATAGTACCAAAGAAAATCTCCTATATACCACACCTGGTTTCTCCTATTTTTAACATCTTAAATTAGTATGGTTCACTTATTACAATCAATGAACCAATATCAATCCAATATTATTAACAACAGTCCATTATTTTAATTTTCTTTGTTTTTACCAATGTCCTTCTAGGCGAAGATTTCACTCAGTTTACCATGTTACATTTAACAGTCATGTCCTTAGGCTCCTATTGGCTGTAACAGTTTCTCAGATTTCCCTTGTTTTGATGACTTGACAGTTTGGAGGAGTAGGGATCAAGAGTTTCTGGAAAATGCCTCGATTGGTATTTACGTGTTTTTCCTCATGATTGGACCTGGAGGAAGACCACAGAAATGGTGTTTTAATCACGTTACTAAGGGTCCATATTATCAATACGACATCATCGTTAATGTTAATCTCAACTGCCCAGTGGACAATGTCAGGTTTCTCCATTGTAAACTTAAGCCTTCCTGCTCGCACCCACTTCCCATGCTGTTTTGTCTGGAAAGACGTCATAGGCACGTCCACATTCCAAGGTTGGGGAATCATGCTCCAACTTCTTGAGGGCAGGGTATCTACAAAAAATATTTGGAATTCTTCTGAACAGGCTGCCTGTCTCTTCTCCCCATTTATTTTCACAGTATATAGTTGTTCATTTATATTAGCATGGGCTCATGAATATTTTATGCTTTTGAGTTATAATCCAATACTACTTTGTTACTCAGATTGTTCCAGGTTGAACACTGGCATCTCTTTTCATGACTCCTGGTTCTCCTAGACAAACACATTATTTGGTGTGTTTGTGTACTTCCTTTCTGGCATTGTGAAATGTACTTGGTTCATCCTGTAAAATTTCCTGCTCAGACCTAGAACCAGCCATTTCTCCTAGGTACCCTGGTTTCTTTTATGGAGAGTTTTAAAAACCTAAAATCTGGGCACTATGTGTGCTGGAACTGAATTCTTAACACGCTCTCTTCAGCTGTTTTGTATGAAACTAGGGTTTGAGAACCTCTGTGTTTTTGTTGTTTTTTTCTTTCCTGTTAAGCACTTCTCTGGTGCCAGTTACAGCACCGGTCGACAGAGGGCGCAAGAAGTAAAACAGTTTCCTTTTTATGACAAAAGGCCTCTCCAAGTAAAGAATGACGTGATATAAAAAGCGCGGAGAAATGACTAGACTGCGCAAAGGAACTGTCAAGCCGGGTGTGGGCCAAAATGCATCACGTGGGCTTTAGCAGTCAGCTGACTAGCGCACAGGTTCCGCAGGGAGGGGAGCGTCGCACTGAGGGCTGCCACTGATTGGTGGAGGAGGATGAACACTAGTACCTTGGGGGCGGGTCTTAAGCAGTGGGGACTACGATTGGCTTTTGGAAAGTCACGTGTAGGTGTCCGACCAAGCTCTGGGAAGCTAGCCCTATGCGGGTATATGCGCTTGCTTTGAGGTCTCAGGGCGCCGATTGGATGTCGTGAGTCACGGGAAGTCGTGCGGCTCCTGGCGGGGGCGTGGCCGGTGGGGCTCGCGCTGCTCTGCGAGAGTGCTGATTGGCGGGCGCGAGTCACATGGGTCCGGGCCTCAGGCGGCGGGCGCTGGTGCGACGTCAACGCAGCCCGCTAAGCTCCCTCGGCCGGTGTACCGGGGCTCAGCTGTGGCAGAGTCCTCCCAGGTCCCGGGTCCGGAGGTTTGCTGAGAACCTTTGTGGCTGTCATGGATAACTCCGGGAAGGAAGCGGAGGCCATGGCGCTGTTGGCCGAGGCGGAGCGCAAAGTGAAGAACTCGCAGTCCTTCTTCTCCGGTCTCTTTGGGTAAGAACCCAGAGGGTGAGGGGTGGGCCTGGACCTAGGCTGAGAAGCCGAAGGGTCGTGGTCTGAGGTGGCGGGGTAGATCCCAAGGGTCAGAGGGGATTCCGCGTGGTGACGTGGTCCGAAGTTACAGGGGACACGGACTGAGGGATCCGGGTTCTAGGAGAAAAAGTCTGAGATGGTGGAAGAGACCTGGAATGAGGTCGCACAGGCCGAGGCGACGTCATCTTGAGTTGGGGAAGGGGACTCGGGCTGAAGACTGGCCGAGGGCCGGAGGAGAACTGGGCAAGGGAAATACGGCTTGAGGCCTTGGGGGGCACCTGCTAGAGAGCCCGAGAGAAGCCGGCTTCCGCAGCCTTTAGAGCTCCTGGGGAGTCTGTCTGAAGGGTCCTGGGACCCGGGACACCTGCCTGAGGGACCCACCTTTCCGCAGCCGGTGGCAGTGGGTTTGTGTGGGTCCTGGGTGATGGGCGTGAGGGCTCCAGATATCTGACACCCGGCAGAGGGGTCAGGAGTAGGTTATCCTGGGAGTGAAATGGGTGTGCCCGGGGGGCTGGGTGAGTTTGGCCCTGGTAAAAAGTGACTAAAGGAGACCTGAGCAGAGGACCCAGATGGTGGAGTTAAGAATGAGGCGGCCTGGGATGAGAGCTGGGGACTGCAGCTGGGGGAGATGACAGCCACCTGGGGGAGGAGTAGAGGGGGACAGGGAGAAGGGGGGCCGGGGGTCAGAGGCCTGCTGTATGGGTCCTAAGCCTGGGGAGTCAGGAGGGGTGACCGTGGCATGCCTTCCAATAAGGCCTGTAGGTCTGGGAGCAGAGCTAAGGCCGGGAGGTGGCAGAGGGGTACATAAGGTTCCTGTCAGCTCATAAAAGCCAACCACCCTTTGAGGATTCTTGGTAGCTTAGGAGCATCAAAAGCCCAGGTGTGAAATGTGGCTCTGCCGTTTCCTTCATGGCCTTGGATGAGCTGATTTCCCCGATAAAGGGATAGCTGGTAAAATCAATTCCAGAAGTTTGTTATAAGTATCAAATTTGTGTGAAGTGTTTAGAACTGAACCTGGCGTGTGGTGAAAGCCCTGTAAATGTCACTAGCCAGATGGCAACAGGTTTGGAGCACGTGAGGGGCTGAAGGGGACCAAGGTGGGAGAGGCCTGGAAGGGGTGAGAGGAGGGAAGGCCTGGGAAGTAGAGAGAGGACCTGGAGAGGAATGGGGAGAGGGCGCTGAGCCCCGAGGCCTTCCCTGGGGAGGCCTCAGGAGGGTTGGGAGAAGAAGCTGAGGCTCTGGCAGAGGAGATTGAGGGGAGCTGGGAGGAGAGGGGAGGAGCAGGCTGGGGGTCCTGAACAGGGCTGTGGGAGTTGTTGAGATGGAGGAGGATTGGGAAAGGTGCCGGGTGGGCTGGTGAGAAGGAGGACTGTGGTGGGGTGGGACACAAGAGTCAGGAACCCCAGAGAGGCAGAGCCTGGGTAAGGCCACAGGCTGCCAGAAGCCTGGGGAAAGGGCTCAGCAGGAGGGCCTGGGGGTTGGAAAAGACTGTGTTAGGAGCCTGGCCATGGCTGCTAAGAAAGGAAAGGGAGGGATCTTTCCAGGAGAGGAGATGGAGCTAGTCCTCATTATTTGAGGTTGAATAATGTTTAGCAAAAGAACTTGAAGAATGTGGATGAATTGCCTGAGAAACATCCGGGTCAGATGGGTTGTGTTGATGAAGTGAGGAATGTTGTATTTTAGAGGCTGCAACTGAGAGGGTGTGTGTGTCTTCCTTCTCGAGAATGGAGGAGTTCAGTGTTTGGGGTAGGCCCCGATTTCAGTTTTCAGCGGTAGTTTTCCTGGTAGTTTTTAATGTCTGGTCCTTTTGGCCCAAAGATTAGTGTACCATTGATCCATGTTTGTGGAGAGCCCCTGAACCCCTCAGACACTTGCCATATGGTGGGCAAGGCAAGGTTAATACTAGCCAAGTATTAGTAAAGCCAAATTGTCATATGTAAGGAAGGACCAGGTTATGACCTTTATGTGAAGTTCCTGAACTGAGAGGATGCTGTGTGAATTGGAGGGTGTCCCTCAGGAGTGAGCTGGGTTCTAAGGAACTGTGACATGCAAGGGAGCAGGTACCTGGAGGGTGTTATAGGTGGCAGAGATAGTGCAGTTTAGCTGGGTGCAGTGACACCCACCTGTAATCCCAGTTACTCAAGAGGAGGAGGCTCACAAGTTTGAGGCCAGCCTTAGCAACTCCACAGGGATAATGTAAGCAAAGGTCTAGTGTGAGGGGATGATCTACCCAGAATGACAGTGGGTACCAAGATCCAGAGGGACCAGGAAGGGCTTCCTAGAGGAGAGGTCTCCATCTGGGTGGGGCTGAACAGTTCTGGGAGTGCACTCTGAGAGAGAGCAGCACTCCAGGTAGTGGAGACAGCTTGAGGAAAGGCCCAGAGGAGCAAGGCTTGTGTTACGAAGGATTAGTACGGGGAGAGCCATGTGAGACATCATGTTAGAATGGGCAGGTGGGGGAAGTGAGGCAAGACTGGACAGATGCGACCTGTAAGCAAGGACTTGGGTGTGAGGAGGTGCTGGGGAGCACAGAAATTTAGTGGGGCCAGTTCTGGAAGCTTCCCATTTGCCTTTCAAAGGGGCTGCAGCTGGTGTGGGGGAGAATGACGGCTGGAGGCTGTAGCAGTGACAGTGGAACTAGAAGATACTATTTGTGAAGTGCTCCCTCTGCCTCTGAGTCAGGCCTGGACCTGGCACTTACCCTTATTTAGTCCTCACAGAATCCCTGTGGAGGTGGATAAAGGGAGCTTAGAGAAGTCGATTTATTTGCACAGAGCGACAATAAGTGGGAGAGGCAGCGCTCAGACCCAGGCCTGGCTGATTCCACAGCCCTCTTGCTTAGCCACTTTGCTGTGCTACAAACATAGTTTCTCCTGGAGGCTCACATCCATTTTTGGGGCACACATTTAGGAAGGATGCTTACAAAGTCCGTGGTTTGGTTTTCTGCCACCCTCTGATTAACTCCCCATGGCAGTTTTCTCCAAATATTTGAAAGAAAGCAGGTGGGTTCCTCTGGTCCCTTGCAACTCCATGAGGAGTTGAGGATGTGCTGACCAGGGAGTGAGCAAGGCCCACCTGGAGCCCGAGTCTGGGAGCTGGGAGCGTGTCCAGAGGTCAGTTCAAGAGAACCTACTTTAGGGGCGGGATCCACTCCTAGTGCCTCCTCCCCTGGAGCTAGGCTCGCCCTGGTTAAACATTTCCCAGCTGGCCTTCACTCAAGGCTTTGAGAAGGGTGTGCTGGGGCTCAGCTCCTCTCTGGTGCTTCTCCCACCCCTTTTGGGAACCTCTTTGATGATAACTTCCCTGATGAAGAAGCCTCTGCTCAATGTCAAGCAGGCCAGGTACAGTAGCCCTCCCCTGGGATGCTTGTGGGTTGCTTTTGGTGCCTTTGCTCTTCCTTATTTTCAGGCTGCCAGACTCTAGGGGCTTTGATGTACCAGCAGCCATTGAGGGCCACAGCAGTAGCAGTTAGAGATGTTTCTGTACCTTCCCTGGGCAGTAGGGGGCAATAGGGGGTGAAGGGGTAGCAAACACCTGTGCTCTGGAAGCACAGTAAGATGGTGGAAAAGGGCAAGGGAGAAGCAAGTTTTCCTTCCCTTCCTCCTGCTCTGGTCTCCCAGTGGGTCCAGGGACTTCCCTGCGGAGCCCCTGTGGGATTATACAGGTTCTGAACAGTAGTTCTGTACCCTGTTGCTCCTCCTCAGCCCTAAGGTCTCCCCATCCCAAATCTCAAATAAAGACTCCTTTCCTCTTGAACATTGACATGTACAGGAGTTTTCTCACCTGTGAAGTGAAAACCAGAACCATGCCTACTTCCTGGGGTTGTCCCAAGGAGCACATCGACACCCTGCTGGGCCCCCACAGTGCTTCAGGAGGGCTGTTCTTACTAGTCAATGTCGTGGAAGTTGAACTGGAGGTGCTGGAGAAATAGAATTGAAAGAGAGGTGTCAGAGTGTTCTGTAAACAAACAGCATGTTCCTAAAGCTCAGATGTTGACAAGTCAGTTCCTGTTTGTATCTCCTGTGGACATCAAAAGCCCTGGAGGGCCTGCTTTTGTGAGCGAAAAATTACTGCCAGGGTCAGGGTGGGTGTCCCTGAGCAGGGCCTGCAGGGGTCTCCGCTGAGCTGGTCTAGGCATGAGTCTCCAGCTTTGCTTCCTGATCCCCTACAACCTGGAGTAGCCCCTGCTGTCCTTTCCAGTGGGTGCCATGGTGAATCATTGTGCTGGCTGCCAAGATCCACATCTGAAAAGTTGGCTTTTCTTGTCCAGTCCCAGCATGGCGTCTTTCCTGAGGGCAGGTGGGGTTTCTGGGGAATCTGAGCGTTCCTGGCTTTCTCAGCAGATGGGATTTTGCTGCTTGGTTATACAGAGGTTTTCGTGCTCCTCCTGCTTGGAACTGGGCTGCCGAGAGTTGAGGAGCTTTCTGCATATCCTTTGAAGAAATGAAACATTCACCCTGGGGCTGTGGTGCAGGGTGGCCCTGCTGGGAGCAGAGGGCAGCACTTTAAGAAACGTGGGCCTCTTGCCAGGTCAGGCGGCAGCCACAGTCTTTGCCTCTGAGCCAACTAGAGGGCTATGGGCCCTCAGATAGGCACAGTGATCCCTTAGCATCCCAGGGGATTGGTTCTAAGAACACTCCCCATCCCCCAGCAGATACCGAAGTCTGCCCAGGCTCCAGTCCCTCGTGTAGAATGTCTGATATTTGTGACCTACAGGTTGCTTAGGATACCTGATACAATGCAAGTCCTGCAGAAGTACTTGTTATACCATGTGCTTTGGGAATAATGACAAAGGACAAGTCTTTATATGTTCAGTACGATGCAGTTTTTTAAAAAATATTGATCCACTGATAGTTGAATCAGTGGGTGCAGGGCTAACCATGTCAGCATCATGAGGCAGGGGCAGGCTGGTGAGAGACCCAGGACTCTGGAAACAGAAGGGGGGCAACACTTAGCTGCCCAGAGTGGAGGAGATGCAGCCCACGCTGAGTCGGTAACTTCACTGCTCTCAGTGGCCCCTGTGGCATGGTGGACACTCAGCTGGTGCTCTGTGAGATTGCTCATGCTTCTAGCAGCCTGCGGGGCGTTAGACCCATCCCAGTGACAAATGAGGAAACCAAGGCTGCAAGCGGTGAGCTGGCATTTGAGCCCAGACCTGTCTGACTGCCCTCAGCACTTCTTCCAGCACCACAGGTGACTCCGGAGTTCCCACTGGAACCGGCACCCCTTGGAGTGCCTCTCCTCCTCCAGTGGCAGCCACTCAGGCCCCTGCTTCCTGCTGCACACTCCTTAGAGACTCCTCCCAGGTCAGGTTCATTGTCTCCACTTTACAGCTAAAGAGACAGAGGCTCCAGGGCCACACACTTAGTAAAAGTACCTGAAACATTCCTGCCCAGGTCACTATGCTCCAGAGTCATTCTCTCTGCCCCTTGCCCTTGCCTTGTAGGCATACTATGAGAGGGTCAGCACATGGGGCCTTAGTCTGCCATCACTGCTCCCCCTGCCTGGCCAAGCAGTGGGGAGGGTAGAAGGCAGAGCTGCTGGAGCTCAGAGCCATCTGGGAGGGCGCTGCAGAGCCTGGAGGCAGTGGCTGGTCAATATAGGTGGGGGAGGCAGAGGCCTGAGGGCAGCCAGCGGAGGAGCAGAACCCGTGGGAGCGCCTGTGCCTCTTTTGCTCACATCCCCTCTCCTGTTGGACTATGCTGGGGGGCTCTAGGGGGGTCTGGCTTCATTGATCCTCCTAGCCTAGCGGAGGCTGGGTGCAACTCCAGAGAGAGCAGGGTCCACGTGTCAGAAGAGGGAAGCTGGGGTGGTGAGGCTGCCTCATCTAGGAGGCAGCAAGGCCCTGGTCCACCCTCCTCGTTTTCTCGAGGACTCTTCTATGTAAGTGAGGGCAAGCTGAGGGCAGGACAGGATCCCCAGGGCCCCAAGGCCCCTCTCCCAGCCCTGCCAGTCCCTACAGTGTCCGCTTGGTTGGGTCCCTTACCCTCCTCTATGAAGCAGGGCTCACAGCTTTGGATGCACCCCTTCAGGTGGTGGCCTCAGGAGATTAGTGCCCACTGATAGTCACTGTGAAAACAAGCAGCAAATTGAGAGCCAGGCTATGAGGCATGTAAGGGTGGTGGCAGGTCCTCAGGTCCCTTCTTCCTGGGGGTACTGACTTGATAACCAAGGCAGCGGGCAGGGGTCTGTGGTGCTGCAGAGGGGAGGAGGAATTCATCCATCTGCCCAGCATTTCAAGGTCCTTGGGGAACTGGAGGTGGGGGTAGGGGTGGCCTGTTTCAGGGAGCCAGGAAGTGCCTGGGGATGGAAGAAGGAGGGAGGGAGACTGAAATCACCCTGCAGAACCCCCTGGCCAGGGTCCTGCCAGGCATCTGTGCTTTCCTGGCAGTGCTCACCCCTCCATATGGCAGTTGCTGGAGGTTGGTGGCTGTGCCTGGGAGACCTGAGACTGCTTCCTCCGCTTTCGGGAGGGTGGGGAGAGAGGCTGAGTGGTAATTATAGACAGCCTTGCACCAGGCCGGCCCAAACCAGTTCCCTGTATTCCCAGTGGCTCAGAGCCGTGGGATGGGAGAGTGCAGCAGAGGCAGCTTGGAGGAGGCCAGTGGGAGAGGGGCTGTCAGCTGTCACTTGTGCTGCCACCTAGACCCTTCAGGAGGAGGCCCAGTGAGCTTTTCTGGATCTCGTGCAAGAGGCAGAGGAGCTTGTAGTTTCAGTCAAGAGGCCACCCTTAGACAGGTGACATGAGCCCTCCCGACATGGAGTAGAAAGCCTGGAGTGAGCCATGCAGAGGGACACCTTGCATGAGCTTGGGACCAAGACTCCTGCCTTGTCAGTCTTTCTCTGCCCTGTTAGAACAGGGCTGGAATCTTGCCCTGGCCTCCAGCACAAAGTCCCCTGCCTGCCTCACCTGGCTCCTTCCTGCCACTCCCTGTGCCACAGCCATCCTGGCCCCGCTTCTCTTCCTCTAGCTTGCCTGTGTCTCTGCCTCAGGGCTTTTGCACGTGCCCTGAGTGCTTGTCCCTTCCCATGGATGGCTCCTGAATCCCTGAGGTCCCAGCTCCTGGAGTGCACAGTCACTTTGAGGCGGCTTGAGGGTCCCTGCTATCAAGGGCCAGGCCCTTCTTTGTTGCTTTCATCTTCGGTGCCTGGCACATAACAAAGTGCCAGATATTTGTCCCCCATGTAGAGAAATTTCTACATGAATGGCTTCTTCGGAATTTACCAGTTAAACTATGCAAATCACTTTCCTGCTTTGGGGACTTGCCTCCAAACTCCAGAAGAAGAGGATGAGACTCCAGCAATCCATTGTCACCCACTGCAGCAGTGGCCAGGCCCAGGGTGTTCAAGAGAAGGAGAGGGCAGACCTGGGGCCTGTGTGGGCATTAATCCCTGTGCGGGCTCCTCCACCCCACGGTCAGAGTTGCCACGGTCAGCACAGGGGTGGCTCGGCTTAGTCTGGGGTCAGAGAGGTTCAGTCCAGGCAGCTGACGGCTTTGTGCCTGGGATCCGATCTGTCCCATTGAGCCGAGCAAGGCCAGCTGGGATGACTCTGCTTATTGTTGCTCACCAGCATAGGGCCTCCCAGGAGAATGGCCCCTTTCTGCTCTGCCAGGAGGCCAAGGTCTTTTGACAGTATCTGGAGCTGCCTAGGTCTTGGTTGTACCCACAAAGAAGGAAGGATGAGCTGGGGGTCTGTGGGGTGGCAGACTCTGATTAAAATTTGTGAACATGTAAGAAAACATTGGGGGGGGGTGTTCCTCAAAAGTAAGAGCACTTAACTAGCATGTGCAAGGCACTGGGCCATCCCCAGCGTAAAAAAGGCCATTCCAGAGAAGGTCCTCTGGTGTTTTGCAGCCAGGTCTGAGGGACCCTCTGAATTCTCTACTGCTGGAAGCTTGGGAAAGCTCACTCTGCACAGCCACTAGTGGGCTCTAAAGAAATCCACTGGCCTGCCAAGGCGCGGCTTGGGGGACGCAGAGAGACCTGGTGTCATTTGTGCATGTGGGAGGAGCCTAGAGCTTCAGGCTGCCTCCTGGGGACAGCTGAGGGTAGACTTTACCTGAGGAGGAACCTTTCCTGGTGTGTTTTGGATTCAGGGGGCCTGGTCCCTGCCAGCCCATTCCCTCTCGGGAGTTGTAGGCTGGCGCAGGAGTCAGCCTCACTTTTCCCTTCCAGACCTGCCCAGTCATCTGAACACCGGAATTCCGGAATCCAGGGGTTCCGGATCCCACTGCAGGCCCTGGACCTGCTGCATAAGGCCTAGGAGTGTGGCTGTGGGTCTGACCTCAGCAGTTCAGAGCTGCAAGCAGGTTGCATCCTGCGCCTGCACTACAGCTTGAAGCTGGGGGGACAGTATTGGGCTGCTGGGCACCGGTAGAGGGTGGGATGGGGAGGGTGACTTGTGTGGCTTTTAAACACTCCTGTGTCAAGTGTGGGAAGAGTTTGAAATCTGTTTGGTGGAACTCCTATGGGCGCAGGGTTTATTCTGGTTCTGTTGGCGATTGGAGTCTGAACAGTTAGGAGACCACAGCCCTCATGGGCTAGTCCTGGTTGGATATGGGGGGTAGAAGAAGGGAGAACAAAGGTAGGGACTTAGGGTTTGAGCTACTGGTGAAGGACCCCAAGCTCAGGAAAATTCATGTGTGCCACATGAAGGTCAAGAAGCCAGAGTAAAGCTGCCCAAAGAAGCCCTTTGTTTTATTTACACACACACACATATTTAGTTGTAGTTGGACACAATACCTTTATTTTATTATTTATTTTTATATGGTTCTGAGGATCAAACCCAGGGCTCGCTCATGCTAAGCGAGTGCTCTACTGCTGAGCCACAACCCCAGCCTCTGTTTTTATTTTTTAAAAACCTAAACCTGGGGCTAGAGTGTAACTCAGTGATGAAGCACTTGCCTGGTGTGTGCAAGGCCCTGGGTCCATCCCCAGCACCACCAAAAAAGAAAAGAAAGAACCCTCTATATCTCCCAGGCCTGTTCTATTGCACAGTTTAGTTTTTGAGGATTGTTTTGTATTTTAAATAACTCTATGCTGAATATTCTTGTAACTTTTCTAATTCCTTTCTTGGGGAAAATTGCTAGAAATGTAAGAAGTTTCTGGACTACAGGGTCAAATTAAATCCTAATATTAAATATCTTTTTTTATGAATAGATAAAATGTGCAGATGGTTAAAACAGTTAGTATAAATGAGGGTGCGTGGTGAAGAAGCTGCCCCACAGCTGGCCGTGCTGCGACTGCAGTAGAGATGCTGTCACTAGGCCTTGTGTATTTGTCTAGAGATATTGTTTGTATAAACATGTATGTTTCTATTCTTCACCCTGTTGTTTTTTCCCCAATTGGGAACATTTTATGTTTATTCTTAAAATAATGTGTGCTCTGTGTGCTGCATCCAGCCAGTTCTGAATTGGCGTGACACACCCCTAGGGTGGCAAGGTCTTGATGGAAGAGTGGTCGTGTGCTAGGCACAGGATCAAGGCACCCAGGAAGCAGTGGGCACCTCCAGTGGGGTAGTCCCCCAGAATGCTTTGCAGTCTCTGGGGAAAAGGCATCTGCAGATGCTTGTGACCCGTTGATCACCCCCCACACCCAGGCGGGAAGTGAAAGAGGCTGTCAGGCTGGGTGCATGGGGAGGTCAGGAAGCCCCACTCTCCCCGAGAGCACCCACCCAGTCCCTTCCAGGAAGCATGCCAGTAGTCATTCTGCCTGTGCAGATTGTGCCTTTGTGTGCAGGGGTGGGAACCACAGACTCAGGAGGACAGGGGGAGGTGGCTTAACAGGGAAATCGGACTGAGGGTGGGAACACATGTCCACTGTCGCTGAGGCAGAATGTCTGCTTTCTTTTTGATAACAGACTAGACGGTCTTCTTATCTTTTTTCCTTTTTCTTCTTCCCCAGAGGCTCATCCAAAATAGAGGAAGCGTGTGAAATCTACGCCAGAGCAGCAAACTTGTTCAAAATGGCCAAAAACTGGAGTGGTACGTGCTCTTTGCCGAGCTCAGCTCCCAGTCCTGCTGTCCTGGGTGGGAGGTCGACTTGCGGCTCCCTCTCCAGTGTCAGGAGCCCACTGGCCCGAGTCCAGTGAGATATTTTGCACCTCAGGTCAAGGTGGGAGGACAGAGATAGAGAAGGATGGAAAGCGTGGAGATGAATAGATGGTCGAATCTGGTAGACCAACTTGGATGAGTTCTTTGAAGGATTTCTCCCAGAACTTCAGGTTTCCTGGAAACTATTCCCTTTTGCATCTATCAGACTCATGATTCTGGGCTGAGGGTGTGTCCTGGTGACTCCAGGATAACATTAATCACAGCTACCATTTATTGAGAGTGCTGTGAAGTAGCCATCGCACACAGCTTAAGAAAATCATCCCAGTGACCCACGAGGGTTCCATTAATATCCTCGTTTTAGAGATTCAGACTAAGGCTTGGCTCACCCCTCATCATGGTGCCATGACTGCTAACTAGCAGGACCAGGGTCCCGAAGCCAGGGCTCCTGAGGGTGCAGCCCAGGTGCTTCACCCACTGGTGCAGAGCTTTCCTGGGGAGAAAAGGCAGGCAGGGGCCAGGGGTGGTCCTTGAGGGCACTGAGGTGAGGGTGTATTTGGGGGTTGCGTGTCCCTGGAGGAGAGGCCCGGAGACCTTGGTACTTCTAGTAGATCAGATCAAGGAGATCAAGCCAGAGATAGTTTTGGAACCCAGAGAGGAATTTTCTAGACAAGGAGGAAGTCAACCCATGGATGAGCCATGGAGGTAGGTTGCCAGGGTGCAGGGCGGAGTTGATTGTCACCAGGTCCTGAGAATGCCATTCCCTGGTTTCCCAAAAATTAGAAGAGTGTTTTTCTGAACTTTCACAAGATGCCTTGTTTATAAAGCTGGTGCTGCGTGTGTTTATCCTCCCAGACTCATAAAGGGCCCTAAGAGAAGGAAGGCCTATTTTTTACTCACATACATGTTACTTTTCTCCCAAAATTGGTTACCACCTCCCCAGTGATTCAAACAGAAGTCCCAGTCCATTCTCCCTGCTGTTAGCCCTTTCATATTGAAATTTAGGACTCAGATTTGGAGCTCTTAAAAATAATAATGAAGGGGCTGGGGCTGGGGCCAGCAGTAGAGCGCTCACCTAGCACATGCATGGCTCTAGGTTTGATCCTCAGCACCAAGATATTGTGTCCAACTACAACTAAGAAAATTTTAAAAATAATAATGATAATAATAGTGAAGAAAGACATGGTGGCATATTCCTGTAATCCCAGCACCTTGGGGAGGCTGAGGCAGGAGGATCGTAAGTTCAGAGCCAGCCTTAGCAACTTAGCAAGGACCTAAGCAAGTCAATGAGACTCTGTCTTTAAAAAAAAAAAAAAAAAAACATAAAGGGCTGGGAATGTGGCTCAGTGGTTAATTACCCCCAAGTTCCATCTCAGTTACCCAAAATGAAAATAATAAACTAGCGGGGCACAGTGAGACACACCTATAATCCCAGTCATCAGGAGGTCAAAGCAGGAGGATTACAAGTTAAAGGCTAGCCTCAGCAATTTAGCGTGGCCCTAAGCAACTTAGTGAGATCCTGTCCAAATAAAATATGAAAAGGGCTAGAGACGTGGCTCAGCGGTGAAGTGCCCCTGGGTTCAACCCCTGGTACTGGGAAGAAAAACAGTGATAACAGTAAACAAAACCACAGAGTGAAGCTCACAAAGGCTATGTGTCCCATTTGGAGGCTGGGCCTGGCCACCTCGGCCTCAGGAATTCCGAGATTCTGGAGCCCGCTGAGCCAGGAACCCTCGAGCAGTGGGAGAGACCATGATGCCTCCCAAGTCAGTCAGGAGCCATGTGAACTGTGGCTCAGGCCCTGGGGGACGAGGTCTTGGGAATGGGCACTTTTCTATTGTATTTGAGCCCTTGCCACCCATGTTCCATCTCCCTTTCTGTATGTGGAGCCCCTGGAGTGGGTGGACCCTGGGTCCCCTTCCACTTGCCTTGCAGCGAGTATGGTACCTTGTCCACAGGAGCTTGCAGCCGCTGCATGAGGCCAGAGAGTGTGGGCAGAGACCCAGGCCGCAGGAACTAGAAGGAGCTTCAGGGAGCTGGGGGTCAAGGAGCAGGATGGGAAAGGGGAGCAAGTGGGAGGGTCACTTATCCTAATTGCACTTGCCTCCTGTTCCCGGAACTGCCCCTCCAGGCTGCTCTGCCATTCAGCTCCACGGTGCCTTCCAGGGCCTGTTGCGGCTTGGAACTTTAGAAGTGGTGGCCCTGGAGATGTCACAGAGACTAGGATGAGGAACATGGGATTTGAGCTGGGCTAACCCTGGTCCTCTTGCAAAGTGTCTGGGACTCAGTGTTGTCCCTTGAAGCAGCTTCCTGTCTCCCTCAGAGACTATAGAGGGACCACCAGGAGCCTCAGCCCAGAGCTCAGGAGACCTGCAGCCTGGGCCTCAGCTGGGATTGCTCCAGCCAGTCCTGGCCCACGTGGGACTCTCTGTGCCTTCTAGCGTCCCCGACCTTCTAGGGTAGTGTCTGTGCGGCCACTGAGGCCGGTGCCCTTCCTGTCTGTTGTAGCTGCTGGGAGCGCCTTCTGCCAGGCCGCCCGGCTGCACCTGCAGCTCCAGAGCAAGCATGACGCGGCCACCTGCTTTGTGGACGCTGGCAACGCCTTCAAGAAAGCCGACCCCCAAGGTGAGGGCCTCTGTGGGCCACACGGCCGGCCACACGGCCGGCCACCCTCCTCCATGTCCTCAGGTGTCCCAGCCGCCCTCTTTTTTCCAGTGACTGACATGTGATAGGCTGAGGCGAAGCCAGCCTTAACTTCAGAATTGGCCGTGCTTCCACTGGCACGGGTCCTGCTCCAGGTCCCCGCCTCCCCCTACCCTGTGATGTGCCGCCTGTCACTCCCCTCCCCTAGCCTGTGAGCATTTGGGAGTGGGAGTTAGATTTCAGACCCTCCGCCTGCCAGGGAGAGAAGCAAAGCTGTTCTGTTGTCAGAATTAACATGCAGAAGGGAGCGGGGGCGCCAAGACCAGCCAGGTAGGAGTCACTGCTGAAAAGGAGCGGAAATTCTCCTACCTGGCTTCCCTGCACCTGGGGAAAGTCGGAGAGAACAGAGCCTCACATCCGGTTGCCAGAGAACAGGCTCCTCCACAGGAGAGCGAGTGGGGACGAAGCCTTGCGTGGGGCTGACTCGGAGAGGACAGTTATTATCCCACTGGGTTTGTGGTGAAGCCTAGGCACAGCCCATGCCCAGGCTTTGGGGTTTTGTGGGGCTGGGATATTGCTGTTTTGGGTGTGTGTGTGTGTGTGTGTGTGTGTGTACACACACAGGATTCAGCCAGAGCTCGCACATGGTGAGCATGTGCTCCACCACGGAGCCCTGTCTGCCCACTCCCAGGAGTTTTGTTTTCCTCTTAACCTTTGTGCCAGACAGAGGTTGCTGACTAATTTTAGCAAGCAAAGAAATTTTTTTAAAAAATGACCATCTAGTGTCAAGATCTTCTCAGGAGAATGGAAAATAGGTGAACTTGTAATTTTGGCATGAAGGCCTGCCCTTGGCAGGAGAGGTTGGTGCTCGGCAGGGCTCGTTGGTGTCACCAGGGCCCCTCAAATGCTGCATAACACACCACCGCTGGGGGTTGCTGCCACACCTGGAAGCATTGTGGGGCACAGTTCCCGTGAACTCTCTCTCCTTGGTCATGCAGGCAGGAAGCATTTCTGTTCCCATACTGACCAGTCACTCCTGTCTAGGTGGTGTCTTACAGAGGTTGGCCCAAGTGGTTACATATGGGGTTTCTGCTTGACAAGAACAGGAGAGGGGTTCCTGGCTGGGAGCACCGGGCCACAGCAGAACTTGTGGGTGACTCAGTGACCCAGGGTGACCCTGGGTTTGTTTTCAGCTTGAATCAGCCTGGGAGTCTCAGCATCCTCTGCAGAGCACTCCCCCAGCTGGCCCTCCTGCTCCCTGGGGAACTGGTTGGCCTGGAGATGCTACCTTAGCATCTGTGACGCTCAGCTGCTGCCCCATCTGGAGTAACTGGAAGGACTTGTTTCTGGGGTGGCCGCTGCCAGGCTGCCTGATGTGTGCATGTGCCTCATGCTGTTCCCGCAGCCTGGGCTGGCTGGAGTGTGGTCACAGCCTTCCCTGTTTCTGATCTGAGCATGCAGGCTGTGGGCTTTGCCCAGATGTGGCGCATCCTTGGCCACAGAAAGCACAGAAGGTGGCTGCTGAGGAGGCCAGACCAGTGGGAAGGCATGCTGAGGGTGCAGCTGGAGAGTGGGGTGGGGACACAGGTTTGGAGGGGACCCTTTACGGAGGAAGGAGGGCGCTGCTGCAAGAGGGTTTGTGCTGGCAGGGATGGCGGCAGCAGACCCCACCTCCAGATGCCCTCCCTAGTCACAGCTCCAGTCGGGGCTGTGGCCAGCCGGAAGCAAGGGGAAAGGGGCACATTTGCATGGGGGTGACAGCTGCTTTGCGTCTGGGCAGTCGGCCCATAGGGACATGGGTTCGGCAGCTGTATATGGCTCTGCAGGGGAGGAGATACATGATCTCCGGGAGGATCCAGTGACCTCAGGCAAGTCACTGACTCTTCGGAGCCTCCATTTGCTCCTGTGTTAAAGCACAGGTCTCCTGTGAGATGATGTGCAGGCAGGGCCCCGGGCCCTGAACCACACACAACCCCAAAAGGGCAGCCCTTGGTGCCCATCAGCCTGGTGTTCCTGCCTGGCCTGCGCTCTGAGTTCGGCTAGTTCTTTGTGAAACAGCTGGGGGTGCATTTGAGGTCCTGCCTGCCCAGGTTCCCCCAGCAAGGGCCTTCCCTCACCCCAAGTCCTCCCCTGCCTGGCCAGTGTCTCTGCGGGAGGCTCCCTGAGCCTGAGGCTGCACTTGGGATTTGTGCTTTCCCTCCGCAGAGGGGGGCAGCTGCTGTCCGTGGTTCCTCAGAGCCTCCAGACCACTGGCTGCTGCTTTGTGTGGACTAGGGCCCGGAAGTCCGCTTCCTTGGCCTGCTCAATGCCAAGCAGAGTGTACACAGTGCATGTGTCCCCAGGGCAGGGAAGTGCCCCAGCCCTCATTTGTCTTCCCCTTCCTCCACATCTGCTGCCATTTAGTGGGTGCCTACTGTATACCAGACCCCTGGCATCTTTTAACCCATCCACTTCCTTGTTCGCTTTGGAACTTGTGCCTGTTCTGTTGAGGAGGGGAGGTGGGCTGAGGCCTAGATGTGGTCAGGAAGGGAGAGGCAGAGTGTGCTGGCTCTAGTCCAGGGGGAGCAGCTGCAGCGGGAGTGGGGTGGGTTGGCCTGGGCCTCGCTCTCCCTATTAGGCTGAATCTCCTGAAGCCCCTTGCCAGTCCCTGCGAGTGGGCAGAGGGGTGGGGCTGGCCAGGGAACCGGGCCTGCTCTGTCCAGGGACATGCAGAGGCCTGATGACCTGAGATAAGCCCAGTGTTGGAAGGCATGTCAGAAGCTCCTCCAGGAGGAGGCAGGTGTCATCTGGCAGCCTGCCACTTTCCAGGATAGCTGTTCCCAGATCAAGGAGTTGGCACAAAGGGGACTTAGCTCCATGAGTCCATGTTCTTCCTCTGCTGCCACTGCAGGGGCCACTGTCTGCTGACTAGAGCCCATGCCAGCAGGCTGGGGGGACAGCTGCTGTTCTCACTGAGGAGCATCCTTTGCCTGCAGGAGGCCAGGTAGAGCTCTTGGCCTTTGACCAGCAGAGGGAGCCAGCTCGTAGCCCGGCCAGGGTGGAGGCCCTGGCCTCTCGGCCAGCTGCTAGCTCAGCTGTTGCTTCCAGACCTGCTGTGTTACAAAATTGTGAGTGGATGTGAATTAACACTTTTCAAGCCACTGATTTGTTGTCAGTTCTCGTTTCCATCTCCTCTGCCCCCTTTCTCTCCTCTCTCTACTGCCTCCCTCTTCCAGCATCAGTCTCCAAACCTTACTGAATGGTCCACATTCTCTGAATCTTTTTTGGGTCCCCTGAGGCCTTTCAGAGTTGGACAGAACTTACAGACTCCCAGAGTAGTACACAGATGCCCTTTTTCCCGTATGTACATGTAGAAGGGGTTGTAGACCTCTGAGAGCTCAGCTCTGTTCAGGTGGTTCCCTGAGGAAGTTGGTGTCCTGGCCAGGCCAGGAGCCCCACAGAAGCAGGCATCAGGCCTGCTGCATTCCTGTAGCATCCTTATCCCAGGTGAGCTCAGGCCACTTGCCCAGTCAACTGGGTGGGGACCAGGACCTGTGATTGGCCTGTGGTCTGCCCAGGCCCTCTGCCTCCACCGACCTCCCTCCCCCAGCATCCGCTCCTGAGATGCATTAAACTGATGTTTAAAAAAATACCCACCGAGAGCTCATTTCTATCTGCTAGAAGATGCCTCCCACTCATGCTTCTCTCTTCTCCAAATAACTTTTCAAAAAGAAGAAGAAAAAGCCTTTCCCAAATTTAAAATCTTGCAAGAGATAGTACAACAAAGGTGGCTGAGTTCCTCCTCAGTGCCACTTTGCTGTGCTTGGTTTTTTTTTTTTTTTGGTGAAACCTGCAGCTTGAGGAGCCTGTGGTGATGGGCCAGGATCAGAGGGCTGTGCCGACTGCTTCCCAGGGTGTGGGGAAGAAGGGTGTTGGCAAGTCCATGTTGAGGGGTCCTGATATTCCCAGCATCTGGCCTCCTGTGCCAGAGATCCAGGAGAGACTGGTATAGGGGACAAATTCTGCTTAGGCTCCTACAGAACCCAGGGCTGGCAGAACCCAGGTGGGATCCAGGTTTCCCTGCTACTTCCAGTTGACCTCAGATGTTGGGCTCAGCACCTCCAGCCCTGCCCCGCCTGCCGCAAGCAGCTCTGTCTCTGAGAGCAGGGCCTTGGCATGTGTAGCTTAGCACACCCCTGGGAGTCTGGTTGTCTTTTCCAGCTGTGCCCTGTCCTAGAGCTGCCAGGAAGCTGGTAGACTCAGCAGCCCAAGGGAGAAGGTCTCCCTGTGAAGATGCCTAGCCGCCACAGTGTGCAGAGACCATCAGCTCCTTCCACTTTCCTCCCAGCCCTGAGCGCCTGCTGCTCTCACCAGCCGTCATGCTCTCCTTGGGATATGCTGTCCTGACTTCAGCTCTCATTTCTTCTCTCCACTTCCTCTTTCTTTCCCAGAGGCCATTAACTGTTTGATGAGAGCCATCGAGATCTACACAGACATGGTAAGGCCACTGGTTGTCATGCTTCCTCCCAGCCTCCCAGCCTCGCCTCCCCTGCCTTAACACCCAGCAGTGTTTCTTGCTCCACTGCCAAGACCAGCGGGGAAGCAGGAGCCCTGGAGAATCTGGTCACCTGAGCTGGACTGGACTGACGGGATCCTCGCCCAGCTTGCCAGGAGCCCGGCAGCCCCTCCTTATTTCCTGCCTCCACCCTCTAGGTGGTCTGGGTTTGGTGTCAGGAGTTCTGGTTATTGGCATCTGTGGATCCAGCACCTTCCCCTTGCCTGGTGTTGCCCAGGGTCCCATGTGAGGAGCAACTCTTGGCATCCCAGAGGGAGAGGCAGAGCCCAGAGAAGACCTAGCCCCTGCCCTACCCCAGGGATGCAGCCAGAGAGGCAGCTGGCAGGCCATGGCAAGGAGCCAGGTGATGGACACAGATTTTCCCTGGCTCCTGTAAGCTGCTTACCCCGTCACAGGCCACCCCTGTCTGATCAGACTCTCCCCCAGGCAGGAACGCAGTTGCTGGGCAAGGCTGCAGCAATCCTTGTAGTTAAACGGTCACAGCAGTGGCCATTTGTTGACATAGACACTGCAGGTGGTCAGCAGCAGCCCTGGAGGTTGGCTGTCCCTGATTTCCATTTGATAGTCGAGGAATGTGGGAAGGCAAGAGTGGCACCTTGCCCAGGGACATGGGGGTACTTAGTGTCTTGGAACCTGGGGCTCCTTTGAGGAGCTCTGAGCATGCCCAGAGGAGGTGGAAGGGCAAGGTACCTGCCTGTGGGAAGGGCTGGCTCCATGGCCACACGGGAAAGGGCCCCTGGGCAGTAGGACTCTACAGCCATTGGTGCTGGTTTCTCCAAAGCATTCCACCTGGTGATTCTTTATCTTTCTTCCCCTCTGGACCAGGTTCTGCCCACTCACATCTCCTTTGGGGCATCGCCATCCACCTGTACCTTGCAGACAGGATGGATACAGGCCAGGACACAGGGGCACTTGCCCAGGCCACTGGCAGCACAGCATTTCCCCTGGGCCACTAGGCGTTGGCCTTCTCTGCCCTCTTATGTGCTTCATGGTGGCATGGCCAAGGGACAGGAGCTGAGGGACCATGGCTGACGGTGGGGTGGGTCACATACGAAGTCTCAGTCACAGTGGCCCTTTCCCTTGTCCTTGCAGGGCCGATTCACAATCGCAGCCAAGCACCACATTTCCATTGCTGAGATCTATGAGACAGAGCTGGTGGACATTGAGAAGGTGAGTGGCTGCCAAGGCCTTGCTGGGCCGCCTGCCAGGACCACAGCTTCTCCCTCCGCCCAGGAGAATCCTAGTGCTGCCAGAGCTTGGGTAAAGGGTGCGACCCCAGGCCTGCCCTCCCTCCAGCCCGTGCCCACTCGTGTCTCCTCAGGCCATCGCCCACTACGAGCAGTCTGCAGACTACTACAAAGGCGAGGAGTCTAACAGGTATTCCTCCCACCTGCCCATGTCTCGGTGATGCAGGACTCGCCACCACCTTTGCTCATCCCTCTCCTCCCCACAGCTCAGCCAACAAGTGTCTGCTAAAGGTGGCTGGCTACGCCGCCCAGCTGGAGCAATATCAGAAGGCAATTGACATCTATGAACAGGTAGGGACGGGACGGGCCTTACCGTCTGCTTAGAAGTGCCAAAGCCGTGTCCTGCTCTCATCTGTCCTCTTCCCTGCTTCTCCCCGTCTCCATCTGCCTGCCTCTGTGGCCTTCACCTAGCACTCACCCCGGCTAATGGCTTTCCCCACCCACACGGGCCCTCATGTGGTGTCACCACCCTCCCTGGGGTGTGCTCTGCCACCCCCACACAGGAGCTGCCTGCAGGCTCCAGAGAAAGGCAGCCTCCACACAACCAGTGAGCGGGAGGGGAATGGCCATGGGTGGCAGATCAGGGTCCCTTCTCTGCAGTGGGAGGCAGGGAATGTCACATGGTCCCCCTCTGCTATATGGGGAGGGCTGGGCTGTGGCCAAGAGGAAGGCAAGCAGCTGGCCTCTGGGGAGAGGGGCAGGCACTGCCTCTCTTGCTCGAGCAGCTGCCACCCCTCTGCCCACTGAGTGCCAGTCTGCTGTGGGCCTAACGGCAGTGTGTCACCTCCACGCTGTCCTGGGCCCCTGGGAGGCCCACAGACACCTGGTTTCCGCCTGTCCCAAGCCCTGCCCTATCACATCAGGAGGTCCTGGTCACTGAGTTCCAGTTCCTGACTACCCTGGGCCAGTCCCTGGCTCGCTAGCCTTGGGGTCCTCAGGTCACAGGGCCTTACCCAGGGCTGGACCTGGCTCTCAGCCTGGCCATGAGTCTGCCCTCCAGTTGCCCATGCTGAGCTCACTGGGCTCCTCCACATGACCACAGGTAGGAACCAACGCCATGGATAGCCCCCTTCTCAAGTACAGCGCCAAGGACTACTTCTTCAAGGCGGCTCTCTGCCACTTCTGCATCGACATGCTGAATGCCAAGGTAAGCCAGACGTGGGCCTGCTGGGAGTTCCTCCTTCCAGCCAGGCCGTGGCCGCAGGACCCCAGTGTCGTCACCAGGTCGCCCCTTGCTGCCAGAGGGAGAGGGGTGTGCTCTTGCTCTATCTGTCCCTGCCCGTTGGCCTTTGCATGGGAGACACTAGCTGTACTGAGGCCAACCCATCCTGCTGTCACCTGCCTGGCCCTAGAGGCTTTGAGCTCCTACCTTCTGGCTCACCCAGTACTGGGTCCTTTCTTTTGTGGGTGTACTTCCCAGATCCTCACTGCACCCCTTAAAGGCCGTGCTGTCACCCCCTTTTGCTGAGGAAGGAGCTGGGCTGAGAGTTCCTCATCGAGACCTCGAGGCTAGTGAGCTACGGCCCTGCTCTGCCGAGCACGCGCTTCCCGATGGCGTGACTGTAGCCGCAGCCCCTGTCTTCCTTGCTGTTTTCAAGGCTTCTTGGCAAGAGGAGTCAGTGCTGGGGGAGAGGGGCTGGCCATGGGAAGGAGCTGGGAGTGGGCACTCGGTTCTGGTCAGCTGGAGCCCAGGCAGACCCTGGGACCTCTGCCAGGTCTGGGGCGTCCTGCTGTCTCTGGCTGTGGTGCTTGTGTTCGGCCACCTCCCTGTGAGCCCTGCTCTTCTGTGGGCCCAGCAAGGTGGCTGTCAGCTCAGGATTCTTTTGTGGTGCTGGGGTTGGAACCCAGGGCCTTGTGCCTGTGCAGCAGGCATTCCACCACTGAGCGCGCTCCAGCCTGTGAGCTGGGGTCCTGTTGGCCTGTGGTCACAGCCCCGCCCCACTCCCCTGTGCCATCTCTGGGTGTTTTCCCATTTTTAAAATGGGGTTGCCGTCTTTGGCCTTCCTGGGGTCCTCATGAAGGTCAGCGTGGGGAGCAGCCAGCCCCAGGCCTACCACATAGGTCTACCATACAGGTCATTTGCCCCTTACCAGGCACAGTAAGGAGGGTCCTGGGCACCTGTCCAGGAAGCCCACCCCATCCCTGCTACCGTCTCTGCAACCAGGCTGGCACTCCGCCAACATAATGTTAGGTGACACTGGAGGCTGGGGGAGAAGGGCAGAGAGCCGGCTCAGGGCTGCTAGCAGCAGCCAGGTCCCTCTCCCACCAGACCAGTGTCCAGCGGACCCTCCCTTCATTGGCTTGCCCTGTTCTTCCCTCTCCCTCCCTCCCCCACTGCCCAGCTCGCTGTCCAGAGGTACGAGGAGCTGTTCCCGGCCTTCTCAGATTCCCGGGAGTGCAAGCTGATGAAGGTGAGTGCTGGGCTCAGTGGAGCAAGGCGGTTGGGTTGTCAGGGCGAGGGGCTCCTGAGGACAGGACCTGGCTGCTTGGGCTCCAGGTAGGATAACTACCAATGCTTTTCAATGCCCAGTGCTTTTCAAAGGGTTTGTTTTGTTTTCTTCCTTCTACCAGTTGGCTCTCCAGTCTCTAGATGAGAAGAGCCAGGGACAGGCCAGGGGCAGGGCTGGGTGCTGGACGTTGACACAGGCACACATACATACCCTGTGGTATTCTGCCAGGAGGTGCCCTGGGAGGGAGTCATTTCTGAGTAGGTGGGCAAGATTGAGACACGTTCCTTTCTCCCTCTTGGTGGTGCGGGAGACCACCTCCTCGCCTTCAGACCCCTTCCCAGCCTGTGCTTGGATCTGGTCCAGGCCAGGCCCCAGCTAGCCTCCTCCCTGACCCCGGCTTGCCATTTGTTTGCAGAAGTTGTTAGAAGCTCATGAGGAACAGAATGTGGACAGCTACACAGAGTCGGTAAGTGGCCAGTGTGGGTGGCCAGATCCCCTCCAAGGGGGTGACCCCCAGAGCAGACTGCCTTCTCCAACACGCTGTCCCACAAAATCTCACCTATTTTGGTCTCTGGTCCCTAGGCCCTTTCCTCAGTCAGTCGCCCCAAAATCCTTACAAGTAACTCCCAGGGTGTGGGTAGCTTTGTAAGGGGCAGCCCTGAGGCTGAGGAAGGAAGGGGACTTGGCCTTGGACCCTTAGGGTGCAAACCCCCATGAGCAGTGGAAGCTGTCTCACATCAGGCACTTTGGGTGACCCAGGAGGAGGAGCCTCTAGGGAGGGAAGAGGAGAGTGGGAAGGGACCCGAGGGGGCCAGCTTCCCCTTCCCCAGTGGACCTGCCCACGGGGGTCTCCTGCCCTTCCCTCACTCTGCCATGGATATTCTGGAACTCAGTTGTATCCAGACTTGGCCTGCTTTGGTTTCTGGGTGGTGTCACCACCCAACTTTTCCCTGGTGCTCCCAGGAATTTAATCCAACCCTAGCCGATCCCATCTGCCCCCGGGGGAAGTGAGAGGGCAGGCAGGGCTAGTCCCCTGTGCTCTTTCTCGGGGACCAAAGTGACAAAAGCACATCTTGAAAAGCTTGGGCCTGGAGCTCGGCTGCCCTGCTGGGGTGGGGGCAGCGGTTGTCTCACCTGCGGCCCCTGCAGGTGAAGGAGTACGACTCCATCTCACGGCTGGACCAGTGGCTCACCACGATGCTGCTGCGCATCAAGAAGACCATCCAGGGCGATGAGGAGGACCTGCGCTAGGCCCTGTCTCCCGCCTGTCTTCTGTCTGCTCAGAGAGGCGGGGCCTGAGACTAGCTCGCCTTGAGACCTTCCCTCCCCTTCCCCACCTGGGGAGTCTTGCAGGCCACGTGGGTGGCAGTGTGGGCTTAGCACCACTTCAGGGTGCCAGAGGCCAGGGCCTGCTGGCTGGACAGTCACCCTCTGTTCTCGCTACATCCCTCACCCCTGCCCATTTATTTAAGCCCTTGAAGGTGTCCTCCACCCAAGAAACCAGGTGTACAGAATCTTTAATAGAGACCTGTTTGCTCTGGGTCCTGCCGGAGTCTGGGATCAGCGTCTGGTCCTGGCTCCTGAGCAGCTGAGCCGCAAGGTCGGCGGCTTCTCACCCACCTTGTCCCTAGATGAGTCCTAAGTACACACAGCCACTGAGATTTGCTCTCACTGCTCGGGGTGCGTTTTGCCCCAACATTCTGCAGCCCCTACCTCTCAGGTCAGCTCTGGGCCCTGGAGCCCAGAGGGTGTCCCCCACACCCACCCTTGCGCCTGCTCCTTCCCTAGTGCTTCAAGGTTTTGTCGGTTGGTTGGAAGCTGCGGCTGCCCGAGAAGGAAAATAAAAATCGCCACTTTTGCATGAGTCTCTTCCTCCTCACCTCTGCTGCCCTCCTCAGCCCACAGCATCCCTGCCTGGCCATGGTGCGTCCTGTGGGTAGTGGGACATGCTCCCCCAAGCAGCTTGACAGGGACTTGGGCTGGGCAGGTCCTGTGGTGGAGGCCCGGGATGTGGGCTCAGAGGAGCCGCAGGGCTTGGCCCCATGTTCCTGGGCTTTGGGGTCTGTGGGCCTTGGTTTCAGCCACTGGGGAGCCTCAGAGCTGGCTGGAGGGCGGAGCGGAAGGGAACCTGAACTGTCCACCCTCACCCACATCCAGGTTCCCCTGGGAGGCAGGCTGGATGCCCAGTGACAGTTGTTCCATCTGTCACAGGATGGAGAAGAACTGACTTTGGTGGGCAGAGTGTGAGTCCTGTGTGGGTCTGGGGGTGGGACAGGTGACAGGTCCCTTTGCCTGACAGAGGTGGGTAGGAACTGACCAGCTTTGCCACACTCCAGAGTGGGGTCCCCTGTAAGCCAGACAGATTACCTGGTCCGCCTATGCTTCCCCAGGGAGGCAGAGTGTCACAGCATGTGGGATGGTCACGAAGCAGCAGGGACAGTGATGAGGAGGGGCTGCCTGCGAGAGGCTCCAGCACTGGCCCGGCAGGAAGTTCTGGTGAGGCTCCAGAGTTGAAGGAGTGGCCAGGCCCACACCAGCCCTGCCCGCCGCCCTGCAGCTCCCCACAGCTCTACAGTGGACTGCTGGCACCTGGGCAGGTGGCCGGATCTGCTCCAGGCGCTGCTGACCAGGAAGGGTGGGAAGCTGTTTCTGCACCCATGACCTAGGTCTAACTCTCAAGCCATTGAACGTCTTCCACCTCTGGCCACAGCCTATGCTAAGTCGTGGTTTGAGTGAGGCTCCTGCTCTGGGTTGGTCTTAGGGAAGCTCCACAGGTGGTTCAAATGAGCAGCAGGGGGAAACCTGAAGGGGACAGCTCTTGACTTGCTATCATAACTTCATGTGTTTTTCATTCACTCAACAACTACTGAGTGAACGAGGTTCACAGGCTGCCACATGGGAAGGGGACACTGGCCCCTGTGTCCCATTCACTCAGGCTTCTCATCTCTGTGCCAGGCTGCAGGCACACTCTGGGCACACCCAGTGCTGCGCCTAGGAGCTCTTACCAACTCCAGATCTCTGGAGTTACCCGCCCGCTTTCTTTTCCCCACTTTCCATGTCCACCTGCCTTGAGGGCTTGCACGTGCAGACCTTCAGGTACTAATCGCCCAGGGCTTGGTGAAGGGCCTGGCATGCGCTCTGTGGTTCTGAATAGGTACTGCTGCCTGCTCAGTCAGGCCTAGTGTTCCAGGTGCTGGCGATTTGGCTGAGCCTAGGGAGACACAATCTCCACCTTCCTGGAGCTTTTCCACAGGGAGGAGAATGACAGGTCACTCAAAGTGGCCAGGACAGCTGACCAACCCATGTCTCCTGGAAATGACACATGGATGCACACAGGGTCCCCAAACCTTGTCCTAGGGACAAGGAAGTGTGAACAAGAACCCCTGGAGGCCTCAAACACCTATTTTAAATCCTGTCGCCACCAATCCCTGGCCATCAGCCAACGACTTACTGTCCCCAAGCCTCAATTCATTATTTGTAAATTGGGATATAAATCTTGTAGGGTTCTTGCAAGGATTTTCTGGGTAAAATCTGTAAAGGGTATCCTGGCACAGGGGGAAAGCTCAGTGAATGAACGGGGGAAGGTACCCTCTGGCCCCACTGAATAGTTGTGTGGCACCCATAAGAATGGCCAACTGGACTGTCAGCAGGATGGCATTCAAGAAAGGAGGTGGTTATGTGCCACCCTGATAGATCTGTTTTAGGGTAAGAACATGATAATTAAAATAATGAATTAAAGCACCAACTTGTTTGGGCTCCAGTGCTGCTGCTGCTTTTGGGGGAGATATATACTGGGGATCCAACCCAGGGGCGCTTTACCACTGAGTTGTTTCCCTAACCCTTTTCAGTTTCTACTTTGAGACAGGGCCTCAATAAATTGCCCAGGCTGACCTTGAACTTCTTGCCTTGCGATTCTCCTGAGTCCCTGGGATTACAGGCGCTCACCACTGCATTCGGCCTAACTGGTTCTTTATAGCTGTGTGGTCATAAGCAAGTTACTTGACCTCTTTGTACCTCAACTCCATCTGTAAAATAGATATGAGTGGATGTATCTATCTCGGCCTGCTGGTGAGTTTTGAATAGATTGTTAGTTAGGTTGAATGCCCACAGAGTAACTGTTCCTGGCACAGAAGGGCAATGTTAAGTTTTATGATTCTCATTCTACCTTCCACACAGCCTACAAGGAAGGGCCGAGGGTCGCCACCTACCATCTTTGGTTACACTCCTGCAGCCCCTTTCCTTCGGGTGAAATGGAAAGGGAAGAGCGCGCAAGCGCAATAGGACAAAGTGGTGTGGGCGCCATCTTGGTACAGGGCAATGTCCGCAGTTTGATTACGTCATCCGTCTGCGCGACTGGCCAGGCGTCGGATGGATTAGGTAGAGAACTGTGGTCCTCGGCAGAGGCTGCGAAGGGGCGTGATGGGGGAGGCGGCCGTGGCCGCGGGACCCTGCCCGCTGCGCGAGGACAGCTTCACGCGTTTCTCGTCGCAGAGCAATGTGTACGGGCTGGCCGGCGGCGCGGGTGGACGCGGGGAGCTCCTCGCCGCCACCCTTAAAGGCAAGGTGCTCGGCTTCCGCTACCAAGACCTCCGACAGAAAATCCGGCCGGTGGCCAAGGAGCTGCAGTTCAACTACATCCCCGGTGCGTGGCGCCATGGAGCTGGGGGGCGTGGAACGTGGTGTTGAGGCTTCTGAGGCTCTGTTGGAGCCCAGTCACCACGATGGGAGACTGGGCGACTGAACGGAGTCGAGGTTGATTATCACTGGGGTCGGGGGCAGGGATAATAGGGGCTTGAAAGTGGGTAGGGTTCAGGATTCCTAAAGCAAAGGTCAAGATGCTGGTACCTAGTAGTCAGATAGTGATGGTCAGGACTCTCGCAGACCCATAATTGCAGTGGTCAGAAGTCGCTGTGATTGGTGGTACCAGGAGTCTCAAGTCTGACTACAGTGACATTTTCACTGTCCCCTTCCAGTGGATGCAGAGATTGTCTCCATCGACACCTTCAACAAGTCACCCCCGAAGCAGGGCCTGGTTGTGGGGATCACTTTCATCAAGGTACCCAGAGCACCCTCCATCTACCCACACCCTCCTTACACATCAGCCATCGTGCCTTCCCCAAATCCCTCCTGCTACCCCTGAAGCGAGTTTCCTTCCCCAGGATTCAGGGGACAAGGGATGCCCCTTTCTTAACATTTATTGCGACTATGAGCCTGGCTCTGAATTCAACCTCGACTCCATTGCGCGTGAGTGAGGCTGGGAACTGGAGGGTGGGAGGGGGCCCTGGCAAGTGTGGGGTGCCCATCTGCCTGTGTCCTCCTACAGAGAGCTGCCTGAACCTGGAGCTCCAGTTCACACCTTTCCAGCTGTGTCACACAGAGTGAGTGTCCCTGGGCACTTGGGGTCTCAAACCCCTGTCAGTGGGAGTCTGTTTCCCCATCTGGAAAACAAAAGGGTTATAGTCAATCAAGGACTGGAAACCAAAGTGCCATTGATGCCAGAGAGGTTCAGCACAGCGGGGAGGGAGGGCATGGGGTGTGGTAGGGGCAGTAGCCAGCTGGAGACCACACACCTGCCCATGGACAGTATGCTTCTAAAGTGAATGTGGACCAGACAGCCAGGGGCCACCACTTTCTCAACCCTGAAGAAGATTACCTGAGAGAGCTCATTGAGCGAGCACCTGTGCTGTAGACCTCAGGAATTAGCAGGTTCTGAGGTTCTAGATTCTGACATCCCCAGGATCAAAGATGCTAAGTTTTATAGAGTTGTAAGCTCAAAGATTCCAAGGTTTGAAAGTTCTACAGTTTTATGGATGCCAGCATCTTCTGAGATTCTATATAAGGTTTCTAACATTCTCGTGTTACAAGCAGATAAAAAACAGACCATCTAGAATCTCAAAGTTCTAGTGTTCCCAACTATGTGGATTCCATTCCGGGGCTTGTAGAACACCGGTGTTCTAACATAAGGGTTGGAAAACTGTATTTTTGCAAACTTCTTCTGTGAAGACCCATATAGTAAAATATTAGGTTTTGGGGACCAGTCCCTGTCACAACTACTCAGTTCTGCCATTGTTGCAGGAGAGCAGCTGTTGATAACTGTACAAATGAATGAGCATGACTGTGTTCCAATAAAACTTTATTTGCAAAAACAGGAAGTGGGTTGGTTTTGGTCTGCAGGTCCTGGTTTGCCAACCTGTGTCTAGCAGATAAAAGTTCTAAAACTGAAGATTCAAACTCAGCCATGTTCTAGATGCTAGGGTTTGGATGATCCACACATTCCACGAGACTAGATACCAACCATGACAATTTCTAAAAGCCCTAGTCTTTCAGAGAAAACAATAAACAACTTCTGGAATCCTGGGCTTCCAGAGTGAAGAACCTCAGTGTTTTAAGGTTCTACAGTTCCATTCCAGAGAGAAAATTCCAGCCGGGGAGGGCCCCAGGAATGGGAGGTGCTGGCGTGAGTTTCTGTGGTGCTAAGATGGAGCAGCTTCTGAGAGGGCTGGCTCCTGCAGGTCTGTGCTTCACAGAGACACGTACTAAGAGCTGAAGTCTGAGATTCTAGTCTGGGTCTGCCATCTGAATGTGAGGGTACTTACAAGCAAGGATTTCTGCCAAGAGGATCCAAAACATCTGGACTCAGCCACACTCAGGTCCTTCCATTTTCTCAATTTGTCTGTTTGCAGGGTCCAGGTTGGGGATCAGCTGGAGACTGTGTTTCTCCTGAGCGGAAATGACCCAGCCATCCATCTCTACAAGGAGGTGAGGCACCAACATGCCCTGCCAGGGTTCCCCGTGGGCTGGCTCTGGGCGGGGGATGCCGGAGGCTGGTGGCTGACTCCAGGTACCTGGGTGGATCGTGTTCCCCCAGAATGAAGGGCTGCATCAGTTTGAAGAACAGCCCGTGGAGAACCTCTTCCCAGAGCTCACGAATCTGACCAGTAGGTAGGATGGGCCCCAGAAAAGCTAGCAGGGACCTAGGCTGTAACCTCAGGGAAGACAGTGGTGGGAAGTGCCTTTAAGGACAACAGGGGATCCTAGAGAAACTGAGCAGCAGGCACGAGCTCAGAAAAGGCAAGGTGTGACCCCCAGGGAAATTGACCAACAGTGGTGACCCCAGAGAGAACAGGAGGTGGACCCAGTAATCAGATGATAGGGATTGGCCCCAGAGCATTGGGCAGTGGGGATCACGACTTGCAAATCAGATTGCTGACCAGGTGCTGCAGGGAGGGGTGGGTGCTGGGAGCCACTGATGGTCCTCTGTGCTGTCCCTCTGTCTGTCCATCCACCCGCCAACCAGTGTCCTCTGGCTTGATGTCCACAACCTCCCCGGCACATCCCGGCGCCTCTCGGCTCTCGGCTGTCAGAGTGGCTATGTCCGTGTCGCCCACGTGGACCAACGGAGTCAAGGTGAGGGCCAGGCCGTGTGCCAGGGCTGGGAACTGGGGCAGAGTCTTGAGTCCTTGCTCTCCATGCAGAGGTGCTGCACATGTGGACAGTGCTGCAGGACGGCCCCATCTCCCGAGTGATCGTGTTCAGCCTCACGGCCCCCGAGGGTGAGCTCAGGGCCCAGGGCCCAGGGGAGGCAACTCCGTAGAGTTGGTTCCCCAGCCCGGGGCCTCAGACCCCGTCCTTCCCTCCGCACCCTGTCCAGCCATCGCGATGGCGTGCCCCTCCCCTCCCCTCCTGCCCACGTAGCCTAGGGCGGGTCTTCTCCGCTGGGCACCTCTGCTCTCCGTGCTTTGGTGTGACCTAGACTTTTGCTCCGGGGTTGAGCTGCGCCATTCTCTCTGTGGTCTGACCCTCACTCTTCCCTTGGTGACGTACTCGCATCCCCTGTTCTGTCCTTTCCACTGTCTGCGGACCGACTGCTGTCCCACCACTCAGGATGGAACCGTCAACCCCCGTGCGTTGGTCTCTTCCTGTTCCTTGACCCGTCTGGCCTTGATGGCGTTTCTTTGGCCCCTGTGCCGTCTGGGGTTGGCCCTTACTCGCCCCCCCACCTGGTGTTCTCCACGACCCCTCAGGGACCGGTCTCTCTGCTGGGTCGAACCTCAGGCCCCTCACGCGGCCATCTCACACCCGCTCTTCCCTGTAGTACCGACCTCCGTCATTTCTCTTATGGTCCAGCCTCTAACCTCCTGTCTTCTTTGAGACCTAACTGGTGTTCCTCTCACCGAGGGGGACGGGGTGTGGGGAGGAACCCGTCCCCACAGACCCCCCCACCACTCCCGTTCCTTCTGCAGAGGCCCCGGACCAGCCGAGGCAGGAGGCGTGCAGCGTGCTCGTGGTCAGCATGCTGGAGCCGGCAGTGGTGTACCGGTGAGGGTCTGGGCAGGGGCGGCCTGACCCCGCGACCCAACCTTGTCCTCCTCAGCAGAAGGTCCCTCTGGGTGAAGCTGGTCAGGGCTGGGCAGGTGAAGCTCTTGGTGACCCAGGAAGGGCACTGTGAGTGTTTACGTCTGGGTCCTGTAGAGAGTGGACAGAGGCCTCGGGTGGGCAGAGATGCCCAGCCCTGGAGAGGGTGGGCCAGGGAGTGTTCCAGCAAGTGTTTTCCCACACACCTGGGCAGGCCCCATCTGTGACACCTGCCAGTTTCCATGGGGTCAGTGCCCCCACCGTGGAGGGGGGCAGGTACCCCAGCAGGAGACCTGTCCACCCCCATGGGCCAACACAGCCAGCTCTGGCACACCATGGGTGGACAGGAAGTACCCAAGCCAGGGCCAAGTCATCCAGGCTCTGGGGACAGCGTGGGTGTCCAGACTGGGGACGGGGCGTGCGAATCCCCAGAAGGAGCACGGGGCCTCCTCTTGGGTGTGAGGTGCCTGGCCTGCAGAGTTGGGAGGCAGACACCCTGAGGGGCACAGGTCAGTGACCAGCTGACGCTGGGCTGGTCCTCAGGGACCTGCTGAACCGGGGCCTTGAAGACCAACTTCTCCTGCCTGGCAGTGACCAGTTTGACAGCGTCCTCTGTGGCCTGGTCACTGATGTGGATTTAGATGGACAACCAGAAGTCCTGGTGGCCACCTATGGACAGGTGGGACATGCGGGCTGGGACTGCCGTGCCCTCATGTCCCTGCACCCCCCTCAGCCTGTGACCTTGCCTCCCGCCGCAGGAGCTGCTCTGCTATAAGTACCGCGGCCCCGAGTTGGGGCTGCCGGGGGCCACCCCTGGCTTCCAGCTGCTGTGGCGGCGGAGCTTCTCAAGCCCCCTGCTGGCCATGGCTCATGTGGACCTGACCGGCGACGGGCTGCAGGAGCTGGCCGTGGTCTCCTTGAAGGGCATGCACATCCTACAGGTAACTCACAGGCCAGGGCTGGGCACGGGGCCCGCGGAGGGTCTGCACATCTGTGGGACCAGGCCTGTTCCCGCAGGATCCTCGCGGGCATCAGGGAGGCAGGACGGGATGCTGGGGAGGGGTCAGGCCTCAGTCTGGCCCGGGGGGAGCATGAATGCTGGTTTCTCCCCTTCCCGTGGGGTTCACTGCTGAGGCCACCTCCGGGGAGAGGGGTCCCTGTTGGCCAGGAGGACACTCACAGCAGCTGGGTGGGCCCTACCTGGGGGAGGAGGTTACCCCCCTGCCCCAGCTCCCCTCAGCCTCCAGGGGCCTCCCCACCCCCACAGTCCCTCCTCGAGCTCTGCCTCGCTGCCCTTCTCTGTGGCCGTGGGCCGACCTGAGTCTTCCCCTGCACCGGAGCCTCTGCCCTGTGTCTGCGGGACTCACCTGCCTCACCTCGGCAGCCCTTTCTCCTCTGCTGGTCCCCACTGGCTGTAGCTAACTGCCAATTGCTGGTGGCATCGACTTCCACGTCCGACTTCTTACCCTGCCCTGCAGCATGACCTCCAGCTGCCTGCTGCAGCAGCTCCGGGCACCCAGCCACTGTGCTCCGACCTCCCACTGACCTCTGACCTCTGACCTTCGCCCAGCAGCCTAGTGCCTTTCCGCCTGTTCTGGTCCACCGTCCACCCATGGAAATGGCCCGTGGTCCAGCCTTGGACCCTCCATTGCAATGTGGCTCCCCCTGCTCTGGTCTAACCTTGACCTTCTGCTGACCATCACCCCACCTTTGAGGCTGTGCCGTACCTTGCCCACCTTACCCCTGCTCTCTCCTTCCCTCCCGTCTGACCCAGGACCGCGCTGGCTGGTCTAGCCTGGGTTCTCCACTGGCTCTCCCCTCTGCTGCTGGAGTCTTCCTTGGGCCTTTTCCCACAGTCTAATCCTTACAGAATGTTCTAGATTAGGCCCAGGAGAAGATAGAGTGAGGTTCCAGTGGGAAATCTGAGGTTGGACCACCTTGGGCAGGACAAAGTGAGGTCTCAGGAAAATGGGGTTTAGATGGTTAGGCTCCAGTGGAGATGCTTGAGATTAGCAGATGGGTCCTGAGGTTAGACCACGTGGAGACTCAGAGCCAGGAGAGAGGCTGCGGTTAGACCCTAATGCCAAGGACATAAACCCTACTAGAGAGGTCTGAGGTTAGACCCCAGTGGAAAAGACTGTGGTCTGATTGTGGGTGAAAGGACTTCCTTTTACTGTGACCTCACTGCCACATCACCCTTCATCACAGTCTACTTAAGCATTTCACTCCAGCTGTCTGCTCCTCTCTCCCGGCTGCTGAGGTCTAACCTCAGACCTTCCAGCTGAGGTCTAACCCTGGCCCTCGTGTGTTAATAGAGCCTCTCTCTTCCCCTTGGATCTGCGGCTTCTTTGCCTTGTTGACCTGCCTTTTGCTGTTAGGGTCTCACCTTCGCCTCTCCAGGGTCATTGAGCCCCTAGTAATCGGACTCACTCCCTTTGTAGTGTTGTCTGCTTTTATTTTGACCCATCTCTGTCCCTTCCACTGATTTCTGGCCTACTCCCCTACTTTTGGCTCTAGGCCTGTCCTTCCCACTGGAATTCACTTGAGGCCTTCTCTCTGGGTCTAGCCTTCGTCTTGTCCCAGAAATTCCTTCTTCCCCACACCCTGCAGTCTGCGCTCTGTGCCCTGCTGGCCCTTGGGTGTCCAGTCCACACTGCCCAGCTGTGGTCTAGGTGCATTCCCTGCTTTGTCTCAGCTGGCCCTCCTCCTCTCCCCACAGCACAGCCTCATCCAGGCCTCTGAGCTGGTCCTGACCCGGCTTCGGCGTCAAGTAGAACAGAGGAGACGGCGGCCACGGGGACTTGGGGACAGGTCGGGCCCAGGGCCTGCAGAGCCCCCAGTCTCCTGAGCACCTACCTGTCGGTTCATTCTTCTTACACCTGGAGCAGTTCATGAGACACATCTCCAGCCATTGATGGGAGGAGGTGTCCCAAGAAGAGTGTGGTCTCCCCAGGTCCCCGGGTGGGACAGCCCTGAGTCTCTGCTCTGGCTTTGCCCCATGAGCCCTGTGACCCAGGCTAGCCCCTCTCTCTGTGCCTCGGCATCCCCAGCGGGAAACGGGCGATCCCACCCACCATCTCCAGTGCGCTGAGCACTGGTCATGTGTCCAGAGAAACAAAGCTTTCACAGTCGACTTCATTCTTTTGTATGGCAAGCATTTTTTAAGCACCTACTGTATGCCAGGCTCTGTGGATGCTGGAGTCACCTAGAAAAATCAAGGGAGGAGGTTTTAAGGACAAGAGAATCCAAAGTTAGACCCAGAAACGGGACAGAGATTAGATCCCAGTGTAGACCATAAAGGAGAAAACTGAGGTTAGACCCCAGCAAGAAAGTGGGAACCAAGCCACTGTGGAGCGCCGGGTAAGATGAGGGGTCTGAGGTTAGACCCGGCAAGTGGCGGAGGTTTGCCGTCGTGGACTGTTCTGAGGTTGAAGAGTTTAGCTCTCACTCAGGATGTCTGAGGACCCCAGTGGTTGGGTCTAGATCTGGGGTGAGACTCCATGGAAAGACTGTGGTGGGAGGAATTGTGGGAGAATGTCGTCAAGTTGCCGCAGAGGGTGTAAGACTAGGCCCCTGTGAATCATACTGGGGTTGGACCCCTCAAAAAAATATGCAAAGGGCCTGGGTTAGGGCCCAGCAGAACATAACTGCGGTTTGGTTTTTGTTTTGTTTGCGGCACTACCACTGAGCTACATCCCAGCCCTTTTTATTTTTTATTTTGAGACATGGTCTTGCTAAGTTTCTGAGGCTGGACTCAAACTAAGTCCTCCTGCCCCAGCCTCCCCAGCCTCTGGGTTTGCAGGTGTGCATCCCTGTGGCCAGCAGTAATAGAGTTTAGATCCCAGTGGAGAATACTGAGGTGAAAACCAGACAGAACCCAGGGTGCACCATACTGTAGAGGCTGCGGTCAGGCCTAGTATGAGAAGCCCAGGACTTGGAGCTGCACACAGGCACCCAGGAGAAGGAACCAGAGTCTGCCTCCCAGGGACCATGGAAGGCAGAAGGCAGGAGATGAGTGAGGAAGCAGGCCTGCCCTCCCCCACCACAGGCCAGGAATAGAATCCGGGTCAGCGGGGTGGGGGGGGGGTGGTTCCTGAGCAGGCTCCAGACTGGGACTTGGGCTTGGGTGGGACGCCTGCTCCTGTGTGTGGTGGGGGTGCAGCATCTGGTCATGTAGACCATCTGTCTCTGCCTCTGGCCATGGAAATCCTCCCATAAATCTGACCACCAGCCGGACCAGGCCCAGCCTCCAGTCTACAGTGTTGGAGATAGGAGCCTCCCTGCCTTTATCCCGGCAAACTCCATCCCCCGCTGGGTCTCCCAGAAGCCAGGCCCAGCGTGGGGAGTTGCAGGGAGCTGGATCATCTCTTCCTGGCAGAAGGCCCAAGGCTGGCTCGCCAGGACAGGCAGTGGGCACGGGCACTGGCATGAGCGGCTTCCTCCCCCGCTGCCACCTGCAGAGGCCCAGCACTGGGGCCTGGTGCACGCCATCACCTCCTGCTCTGGGAGGTGCGGAGAGGGCCGTGGGGAGAGGCAGCCGTGAGCAGTGGTGGCTGGGTCTGTGCACGTGCGTTAGGGCGTCTGCCTGTGTGTCCACTCCAGGGCGGGAGCACTCACGTCCCAGGAGCCAGGGCCACCTCCTGGGCCTTGGCGGTTTGCTTCCTGACTTCTTTTTCATTTTTTAAGCAAATAGTTTCCTGACCTCTTGCCCCAGCCTCAGCCTGCAGCGGTGCAGCGCGTGGCTTGAGGACACGGAGCCCAGAGCTGCGTTTCACCGACCCCGCCTCAGTTTCCCCGCCTGGGAGATGGAGCCGATGGTAGCATCTGCTCCAGACTCCGCCGCGGCGGCAGCGTGGACGAGTGACAGGCCTCATAAACATGTCCTCGCAGTGCCTGGCACGTGGTAGGGCTGTGTGAATGGCCGCCCTGTTATTATTATTAATGGGTGCCTTTGTGGTTGTTTCCGACCTTCTTTGTTGGGGTTACTGCGCAGGCGCCCTGTGCAAATTTAGACCGACTGGCCCAACATTCTTGCCCCCCCTCGAGGCCCGTGACTATTTGTAGCTGCTTTGCATCTGGGCCCATGTATGGGCCGGAGACTGCGCGCGCTGGAGAGGACGGGGCGCCTCTCAGACCCGCAGACAGCGCCCTCCGCTGCTGTCCTTGGCCTCTGGTGCTGAACCCGGAGTCTGGGTCGGAGGCTCGGGCTGCCTCCGCTCCCGGCCTCACCCCCGCCCGGCCCCGCCCCGCCCTCGCCGGCTCCTCCCTCCGGCCCCCTCCCCGCCCCCGCCCCCTCCCCTGCTGCCTGCTCGGTCCCTCGCCAGTCGCGGCGCCTCTCGCTCCTCTCCCGCTGGCGGAGTCGCCCACCGCGGCCAGCCCAGCTGGGGGCACCTGCCCAGGCCGTGGGCGCAGGTAAGCGACCGAGCGCGGGGCGTGGGAGGAGACGCGGCCCCCAGGTGCGCGGTGGGGACGCGGGGGAGCTCCTTGGGGCTCCCGGGGCCGGGCTGCGCGCCGGGCGGGGACGGGGGTGGGCAGGGGGCCCCCGGGGACCCCTGCCGCAGTCGCCGCCTTCCCGTGCCTGGCGCGCCCCCGGGGTCCCCGCGCCTCTCCCGGAGTCCCCGTCTGCCGCGCACTCCGTCCCCCCGCGGGTCCGCGGGCTCCCCGCGACGACTTCAAGTCCTCGGGTTCGCCGCCACCTCTTGCGCCATCTCTGCCTCCGCCTCTCGGGTCCGGCGGTCCCGGGCTCTGTCCGTCTGTCTGTCGGTCTGTTCGTCATCTGTCTCCCGCCTGCCTGCCGCTCCGTCTCCCTGTCTCTGTTTCTTCTCGCCCTGGGAGCCGGTTTCTCCTCCTACACACCTTTGCCTCCGCCCCTGGCAGGGGACCTGGGGGAAGACGGTCCCCCGCAGAGTGGCCCCCAGCAGGCCTGGAGCCCCCCAAACTCCGCGCCCCTCTCCAGCGGAGCTCCCTCCCATCCTCCCAGCGGCATCCGCCCATCTCTCCCCAAGCAGAGCCCCTCCCCTGCCTTGTTGCTGGCACTCAGAGGCTGGTCCTTCCTGCAGTCTAACCTGCAACCTTTGTAGTAGAGATTGGATGGAGTAGTTCTTTCTTTTTCTAATCTTTCCTTTCCTCTTCGAATAAACTGGACTAGTCCTTCCAGTCTAACTTCCATGCTTCTTGCTGTTTGTCCAGTTCTGGACTTATTCATTCTTTTGCCAACTGCTGAGTGACTTTCTTATTCCAGGCATAGCACTCCGTGTTGGCTCAGGTCATGCCAGTCCTTCCTAGAGTCTCACTTCCATCCCTCTTGTGGCATGCCTGTCTCAGACTTGTCAGTAGGCTGGATTGCAAGGGCTTTCCAGACACCTCCTAGGGACTTTGAGAAGACCCTTCTGAGTCCAGAGGCCCAGACATCCTCTTCCTTCTTCGAGGGATGGGACTCTAGTGAAGGTGGGTGAGAGTGGGTGACCAGGGGGAGGTTTGAGCCCATGGCTGGAGCTGGCATGGGACCATATGTGCCCGTGTGTCCACCTCCTTCCTGGCTGCAAGTGAAGTCCCCGCCCAGCGTGACAGTGCCGTGTGGGGACTCCAGATGGCTTGAGATCACCGGGCTAGGACTCTCCATCTATGCTCTGCCCCCGGCTTGGCCGAGCCCTTGGTGTAAGGAGCTGGGGTGTGTGGTCCCCAGCTGGGATGCGGTGTGCAGGAGAGCCTGGGCCCTGGGGGCAGTGAGGAGCTCAGGTAGAATCCGCACCCCAGAACCGCATCGTCCTCCCAGGGCCAGCTGGAGGAACCCTCCCTGGCCCCACCCACTCTCTGGGCAGGTGAGGGACCCCACAGGTCCCACCGGTCACCAGGCCCACCTGCCCCTAGGCCTGCACTCACCCAGCACCCCTCCAGGCGGGATGAGCAGGAACTGGGGCGCTCACCACTGACCCAGCTGGCCACAGGCCCAGGAGGCCGAGGCCAGGAAGAGGTGACCGGGAGATGCTGCCACCTCCCTGGGGCCCAGAGAAGGTGCCTGCTATCTGCCCCACCCCCTCGCGGCTCAGGCGATCCTGTTGCCCCTGCACCCAACGCAGCAGATCAGGTTCCAGGGCCGCTGCTGGAGGAGGCGGGGAGCCCGAGCTGCAAGGGCGGCAGGCTCTGGGTCATCATTTCACAAATATTTATCTAGTGCTTTCTCTTCCAGCCTCCTCCCCAGGCCCCAGTGAGAGGGAACCGGGCAGCAGGAGAGCCTTGGGGAGGCTGCCTTGCCAGCCCTGCAAGGAGGGGGCTTGAGCACACATCCTGGCATCCTGATCTGACCCTGGTCTCCCTTGAGGGCTGCAGCAGCAGAGACCAGTGGTTAGACTTGGGGGAAGACTTCCCAGGCCGCAGCTCCCTCCCAGAGAAAGGGAGTTAATGTGTTGGAGGATTCTCACTCTCAGGTGGCCCGTTTCTCCTGGAAGGCAAAGTGGAGGGAGGAAGGAACAAGCTTAAGTGTTTGCTCTGGATCCTGGTGGGCCTGTAATTATGCCTAAGTCGTTGCTAATTAGGGGGCTGCTAATTAGATGTATCATTAGGGGCCTTGTTGAGGGGACTAATTGTGCGGTGGCCCTTTAAGGATCACCCCTCTCCCCGCCCTGCCTAAACCCCCCCCCTTCTGGAGAAGTTCTGCCAACATTCTGCCTCCCTCCCCCAGAGGAGCCAGCTCCCAGCCCATGGTATGTGGGTGTGAGTTGGGGGCAGGCTGTGGGTTAGACTCCCAGAGGAACTTTTTAGACAGAATTGGAAGTTACTGGGAGACTTAAGGCTGATGGCAGAGAGAGGGGTCTGAGAGGGTGGAGGCTCAGATGACACTTCCCTCCCTCCCTCTCTCCTCCATTTATAGGCACTGGGTTACCATGGCAACATGAGGGTGGGGCAGAGGCACTCAGGCTCCGAGCCCCTCTTGGAGAGAAAGCCTGGGAGCCACAGAGTTGGTGCCGGGTGATTTTGGGCAGGTTATTTAACCTCTGAGCCTTGAGCTTCTCATCTGTGAAATGGATGGGGACTCCCCCAAGGGGATGGTGTCATTCTGGATTGAGGGTCCAGGTGAGGTGACGTCAGAGTGGATACCTGAAAGAAGAGGGTGCAAGGCTCATGATGGGTGGAGAAGGGTGTCCCAGGAAAGGGGAGAGCAGGTCAGAGGCCCTGGGGAGCAGACTGGTCTGGTGTGTCCCAGGAACAGTGGGGTGGGGCAGTGTGGCTGGTGCACTGTGGGCAAGGGGGCGAGGCCAGGGGAGGCAGGACGTGCAGGACCTGAGAGGCCAGAGAAAGCCCAGAGGGTCCTGAGCAGAGGACCTGATCTAACAGGTGTCTCTAGGAGACCCGCACGTGACGCAGAAATGGTTTCCCAAAGCACAGACCAGGCCAGGGAGGCAGGCAGAAGGACCCCGTGCCAACGAATAGCACAAACCAGTCAGGTCCCGGTGCCTCCGCTGCTGAGGAGCTGGGCGGCCTACAGAGCATGGGGAGAGGCGCAGCACCGACACCCAGGGACCGTGTCGCAGGGCGGGGGCGAGGGAGGCTCCACAGCCCCTGCCCAGCCCCACCTGAGACCGACAGGCCCACAGGGCTCCTTCCATGCCCGGCTCCCGCCATCTGTCGCTTCCTCAAGGGCTTCGTGGTGTTGTGGCGCCCACCCACGTCCCCTCCTTTCTGGTGCTGTATACTATTCCACGGGGCTTCTGTCGGCTGCTGACTGGCGCCTGGGCTGTTTCAGGACTGTGCTGCTATAGTCGAGCTGCCATGAAGACTCCCGCAGGTGCCTCTTGGTGGACACACGGGCCTCTCTCTCTTGGGTAGGTTCCCAGGAACGGAGTCGCTGAGGCTCAGGGTGCATGGTGCAGTCCCCAGGGCTCAGGCCAGCTTCCTGCCCACGCTCACTCAGGGGTCTTCCGTGCCTCCCCCTCGGGTCTCTGTGTCCTCTGTGTCTCCTTTGGCCCCCATGTCGTCCTCAGCTCCCCGGTGACCCCGTGGGCTTTGGCTGTGCCATGACAGGAGGGGCTGCTCCCCTCACCAGACTCCTCCTCCCTAGGGCCCCGCCGCCCCCCATGGCTCCCCTGGCCTTGGTGGGGGTCGCGCTGCTCCTGGGGGCTCCCCCATGCTCAGGGGCAGCCACCCCGACCCCCTCCCTGCCGCCTCCCCTGGCCAATGACAGCGACCCCAGCCCTGGGGGCTGCCAGGGCTCCAACCGCTGCCAGCCGGGGGTGCTGCTGCCCGTGTGGGAGCCAGACGACCCCTCGCTGGGCGACAAGGCCGCTCGGGCGGTGGTCTACTTCGTGGCCATGGTCTACATGTTCCTGGGTGTGTCCATCATCGCTGACCGCTTTATGGCGTCCATCGAGGTCATCACATCCAAGGAGAAGGAGATCACCATCACCAAGGCCAACGGGGAGACCAGCGTGGGCACCGTGCGCATCTGGAACGAGACGGTGTCCAACCTGACGCTCATGGCCCTGGGCTCCTCGGCGCCCGAGATCCTGCTGTCCGTCATCGAGGTCTGTGGCCACAACTTCCAGGCCGGCGAGCTGGGCCCGGGCACCATCGTGGGCAGCGCAGCCTTCAACATGTTCGTGGTCATCGCCGTGTGCGTCTACGTCATCCCTGCCGGGGAGTGCCGCAGGATCAAGCACCTGCGGGTCTTCTTCGTCACCGCCTCCTGGAGCATCTTCGCCTACGTCTGGCTCTACCTCATCCTCGCTGTCTTTTCCCCGGGTGTGGTCCAGGTAAGCAAGGACACCCCCTGGTGCTCATGTGGGGCAGAGCCGGAGGGGTGACTCTTGGCCTGGCGGGTTGACTTGTGCATTTGAAAAAGTGCGTGTGCGTGCTCGCTCAGAGCGGGCGCCGGGTACAGTTGTGCATACACCGTACATACACTGCACAAGGAGCTCAAGCCCAAGAGGGGAGACCGGGCTGGAGTCCTCCGCAGCTGCCAAGCTGAGTCTGCAGAGGCACCGGCACCGCAATGGGAGCACTGCACCCACCAGAGGGTTCCTTTCAGTCTTCACAAGGGCGCTGTGAGCGACAGCCCCTGTGGTCTGTGTGGTGCGCCCAGGTCTGTCCGCCACTTCACCCTGACTCCGCGTAATTTATTCCTGCCGCTGCAATAAGACGTCCTACGTTTGCATAATTCATGCCGCACTTGGTTGCGTCGCCAGCCCCTTGTTTTCTGACAGCGCTAATTGGTTTGGGTGACTTGCCGCGATTTACAGGATGTACCCGGGGCCTGCGCAGAGGCCGGCCTCTTCTGCTAGCCCAGCGCCCTGCTTGCCTGCAGCCCTCATTTGCATAATTCATTCATTATTCATAATTGGTTTCTGATGTCGAGATAATTTATGCGGCTTCAGTGTCGTGTGTACCCGTCCAGTGCACCCTAGATACTAGCCCGTCGCCCCTTGGCATGATTCGTTCCTACGATGACCCGTTCGGCCTGGGCTGCATAACGGACACCTGCGTTCCGTGGCCATTTGCCTCACATTTGTGTCGTAATCTGCACCCCCCCCTGCGGTCTCCCTGACAACATTTGCTTAACGCACCTCCCACAGCTCCCTGGCTGCCACTCCATTTGCATAATTTATTTATGGCCTGGCCTGATTCGCTCACGTATATGCATAATTTATCCGAGGTGGCCCAGGCTCCTTCACAGTTGTGGGTGATTGTTCCCGCCTGTCACACTTCGCCAGTTAATAGTTTCTTCCAGGAAGCATCTAAAGCTAGCGGTGTAAAAATGCTTTATGGGATGCGTGTCAGGCAACACGAGGACCCAGAAACTCCAGCGAACCCCATAGAATCACCTGTCAGTCACTCACCTGTGGGGCGGGCCCTGGAGGCGGGGCTTCCTTCCCGGGAAAACAGACTCCGCAGCTGCAAGTGGCTTAGTTGGGCTGCGGGAGAGGGTCGCGAGGCTTCTGTGCACAGAGTGGGCCGGCTTCTGTAAACAGTCAGAATGGGGTGGGGCCCTGGATCTTCTGAGAGGTCCCCTGCCAGGCTCATTTGTAAGGGCCTCTGGGCCCTCGCATGGGAACCACCCTCCATCTTTATCTTCAATAAGAAAGGCAGCATTTGAGTTGGGCATTTTTTAATTTAATTTTTAATTAATTAAAAAGGAGGCACTTAACCACCAAGCTACTTCTTTTAAATTATTTTTGAGACAGGATCCTGCTAAATTGCAGTCTGTGATCCTTCTACCTCAGCCTCCTGCATAACTGTGATTACAGACCTCTGTGCTGGGTAGCAACCCAGGCCTCATCATGCTAGGCAAGTGCTCTACCACTGAGCTACCCCCAAGCCTTTTTTATTTTTTATTTTGAGACAGGCTGTCACTAAGTTGCTTAGAGCCTTGCTAAATTGCCAAGGCTGGTCTCAAACCTGTGATCCTCCTGCTTCAGCCTCCTGAGTCCCTGGGATTACAGACATGTGCCACCACACGGGGCAAACTGGCAAGCCCCAGCTGGTGTTTTCGGAATGTGCCTGGGCTGCGGCCAGCTGGGCCCAAGATAACCAGACTAGAGGCGATGGTGACAGTGTGACTGCCCTTCCTGAGCATCTCCACGTGCTGGGAACTGGTCGTGCCAAGTGCTGCTCATGCATGTGCTCATTCCATCTTGGAATGTCCCCATTTTACTGACAGAGAGGCTGGGCCACCCTCCTCCTTAGATCCCAGCTCTCAGCTCAGTCATCCTTGTCTGTAGTGGAAACTCATCTGAGGCGGCTTCGGGATGGTGGTCCAGCCGTAGGCATCTCCTGGAGTCAGGGTCCTGCCCTGAGGGCTGCGAGCTCCCCAGGAGGAGGCCTGCAAGGGCGAGTTGCTCGTGGAGCAGGCCCAGAGGGAACGCGCTGAGCAGGGAGCAGGCCCCAAGGGTGGGCAGGGTTTGGAGCAGTGGAGCCAGCCCTGGTGGAGGGCGAGAGGGACAGGAGGAGACTACTCTGCCCCTTCACAGGGGCTGGAACCAACCACAGGGTGGGGATGTGTGTGTCTCTTGGTGGTGGCTGAGAATGTGTAGGTTTCTGGCTCCTGAGCAGCCAGGCATGATCACCAGTGGGTAAAAGGGGATGGAAGGATTGATGGGTGGATGGATGGTGGATGGGTGGATGGATTGATGGATGGGTGGGTGGATGGTGGGTGGGTGGATGGTGGATGGGTAGATGGGTGGGTGGATGGGTAGATGGGTGGGTGAGTGGATGGATGGATGGTGGATAGGTGAATGGATGGATGGTGGATGGGTGGGTAGATTGATGGATGGGTGGGTAGATGGATGGTGGATGGATGGATAGTGGGTGGGTGGGTGGGTGGATGGATGGTGGGTGGTTGAGTAGGTAGGTGGATGGATGGCTGAGTGGGTAGATGAATGGCTGGGTGGGTAGATGGATGGGTGGGTGGTGGATGGGTGGATGGATGGGTGGATTGATGGGTGGCTGGGTGGATGGGAGAGGAGGGGCGGAGAGGTGGGGCGCACAGCGACGTGAGCTGTAGCTTAGAGACACACGGGCTCCCGCGCAGTGCGTCCCCCTGCCGGCACGGAGGTCGCGCGTCCTGACACCCGGCTTCCCGCAGGTGTGGGAGGCACTGCTGACCCTGATCTTCTTCCCGGTGTGCGTGGTGTTCGCCTGGATGGCCGACAAGCGGCTGCTGTTCTACAAGTACGTTTACAAGCGCTACCGCACTGACCCGCGCAGCGGCATCATCATTGGCGCTGAGGGCGACCCGCCCAAGAGCATCGAGCTGGACGGCACGTTTGTGGGCAGCGAGGCACCAGGCGAGCTGGGCGGCCTGGGCCCGGGCCCTGCCGAGGCCCGCGAGCTGGACGCCAGCCGCCGCGAGGTCATCCAGATCCTCAAGGACCTCAAACAGAAGCACCCAGACAAGGACCTGGAGCAGCTGGTGGGCATCGCCAACTACTACGCGCTACTGCACCAGCAGAAGAGCCGCGCCTTCTACCGCATCCAGGCCACGCGGCTGATGACCGGCGCGGGCAATGTGCTGCGGCGACACGCGGCCGACGCCTCACGCAGAGCCACCCCTGCTGATGGCCCTGGAGAGGATGAGGATGACGGTGCCAGCCGCATCTTCTTCGAGCCCAGCCTGTACCACTGCCTGGAGAACTGCGGCTCCGTGCTGCTGTCGGTCACCTGCCAGGGTGGCGAGGGCAACAGCACCTTCTACGTGGACTACCGCACGGAGGACGGCTCAGCCAAGGCGGGCTCCGACTACGAGTACAGGTGGGTCCCCGGCCAGGCCGCCACCCCCTGCTGCTGCGCAGCCTGCCGCTGGGCCTCAGGACCCATCCCTTGCTATGGGTGACCTGTGGTGTTGGTTCATTTTTTTTTTTTTAATTTTTTTGGTACCAGGGACTGAACCCAGGGGCACATAACCACTGAGCCATGTCCTTTATTTTTTAGAGACTGGGTCTTGCTATGTTGCTCAGGGTCTTGCTAAGGTTCTGAGGCTGTCTTTGCAATCCTCCTGTCTGAGACTCCTGAGCTGCTGGGAGTGTAGGCATGTGCCACCATGGCCAGCTCATTTACTCTTTTTTTTTTTTTTTAATTTTGGGACAGTCCCCAGGTTGCCCAGGCTGGCCTGGGACTTGCAGTCCTGTCTCAACCTCCCAAGTTGCTGGGGTTACAGGCATGTGCCGTGGGGTCCGGCTCTCACCCACTGGTCCTTGAGAACATTCCTTGTGTCAGACACTGGGCCAGGCATGTGGCATACAGCACTGGGCCACACAGCTGGCTGCGGGCAGACTGCCCCTCTGCTGTTCCTTGTCCACCTGTGGGCTCTGGGCCTGACACCTGCTGTGCTCCTTGTTACAGTGCTGATGAATGTTCTGTCGCTCAGAGGAACCAACCCTCCCTGATGCTTGGAGTAACTGATTTGCGAGTGGGGTGTCCCCCTGTGCCAGCCGCTGTTCTGGATGCCATGCTGAAGGCAGTGCCCAGCGACGGCGGCCATGCCCGGCTGCCACTCCAACACACAGAGTTGTGTGAGGCTCTTGCTGTAGGCCTTGACCTTTGAACCATGGCAACTCTGTCACCTGCTCAGTCTCCTATGGGGAGACCTCCTCCCATATTCTAGTAATAAGTCACATTTATAGGGAGCCTACTGTGTGCCAGACCTGTTCCAGGCATTTATACAGAACAGTGTGCAGGGCAAGGCTCCCACCACCTGCACCTCCTGTGTGGGGGCCTGGCTGTTTGAATTTCTGTAGTTTCACTGTCTGTCTTGTATCTAGGAGGGTAAGTGCCTGTGCACACGCAGAGCAGCCATCGCGTGCCTGATTGGAAGACAGAGCCCTGTCCTCTCACGGGTCCCCTGTGTCGTTCACTGCTTCCTGTGTCAGAACTGTGTGATTTCAGCTGTTGTGGCTTTGGTGTCTGTTTCATGACTTGGCTCATCTAGTCCCCCCGGCCCCGCCATGTACAGTGACCCTCAGCTGGTCTGCGGCAGAGGCAATCCTCGGTGCACCTGTCACGGTGCGTGAACGTGGTGGGGAATCTCTCACCCCAGCCCCCCTCCCACGGTCGTAACTCATCCACAGCCTTCAGTCTTATCACAGCCTGGTGTTCAGCTGTCCCCACAGTCTGACAGGATTACCCTTTAGTGGGCACTTGCCATGTGCCAGGCACCGCCCCAGGCTTTCAGCTGCATGGTAGCTTGGAGGGACAGGCTCGGGCTTCGCGCTGCCCCTATTCTGCAGCTGTCTGGTGTGGCGTTCACGCAGCTCTATTTTAACCCTGTGGCTCCAGCACAGGTAGAGCGAGCAGCCCACGGCGCCTGCCTGAATGCAGGTGCTCACTGAGCACCTACTGTGTACCAATGGGCACACCACTGTAAACAGGACGGCAGAGTTCTTGCTCTCCAGTTGCAAAAATGATGTCCGTGACCCCACACGTCAGAAGGTGCCGTGTAGTAAATGTCCCCTGTACGGTGACTAGGGGGAGCAGAGGGAGATGGCTGGCGCGTCCCATCCTTGGTCTCCACAGTCAGTGCCTCGGTCCCTCTCCTTAGCCCTCTTCCTGTGGGCCTGGGAGAGCCCCTCATCCAAGAGTTCCTGCTGAGCACCTGCTGTGTGCTTAGTGCATTTGTGGGGACCCCACATCAGACAATAAACGACAGCACTGAGGTCCCAGCTCGTTCGCGGCGGCAGATCCTTCCTGTGTCTGGTTCCCGCAGCTGTGACCTCTCGAGACTCAGGGCTTCGCGAAGGGCTTTGTTGGTCCAAGTCGAGCCTTTGCCAGGTGTCTACTCTGCCACTGGTGGTGACCATCACAGTGAAAAAACCCAGGACGCCCCATCCAGGTGGAGCCCGGACGCTCCTGGGAGACCCTGGGAGGCCAGCACTGCTGACGTAAAGTGCCAGGAGCCAAAAGAGCCAGTCGGCAGGGCGCACAGGGGCTGCACCTGTCCGTCACGGTGCTGGGGCCTCCCTGGGCTGCACTCACCGGCCCCTCTGCCCTCCTCTCCCTGATGCTGGGTTCTCTTCTCGACCGGTTTCTAGGTCCAACACTGGGCCTCAGCAGGACCTTTAGCCACCCAGTCCCCTCTGGCTGTCACTTCCCACCTTCACGGCGCTATGGACACTTGTAGGTCTTGCCTTCTGCTCAGCCAGCCAGGGTCCCACGTCCACCCACTTCCCTCCCCCAGCCCCTGCCTGAGCAGGCCGACTCCTCATGGGCCTTGGTTCCAACATCCGTGGCAGGGGATCCCTTTGCCGCCTGTGACCTCCTCCTCCAGCCTCCCCACTGTGCCCTAGTTGGGGAAACTGCATTCACTGCGATGGGACTTGCTTTGGTCTCTCCCTCCACTCTTCCCCTGCTGTCCACACCCGGGTCTGCACTGCCCCCCAGGTAAAGCCTGAGTCTTGGTGGAAGGAAGTGAGTCCAGGTGTTCCTTGCAGGAAGCAGAGGCCACTTTCTCACCTGCAAAGGACTTTACCTCCAACATGTTGGAAGTAAGAGAGCAAAGGGTTGAGGATGTGGCTCAGTGACAGAGTACATGTAGAGTGCTCGAGGCCTGGGTTCCATCTCCAGCACTGCACAGAGTTAAGTTCCTTGGGCAAAGCTCTGCCTCCGTTTGGGGAAATAGGGCTCCTGAATTCAGTTGTTGAAGTTGTACACTGTGCAAGGACACTGTATCTGAGGATGCTGTATTCGTGGCGGACATTGTAGATGTGTATGTCTACTTGAACAATTTCCTGAGTCATGGAAATAAGTGTCAACAAAAAGAGAGCCTTTTTCTAATTTTCACACAGGTACCACATGGGGAAGGGGTGGCCCTGTGGGCCTCAATTTCTCCAAATGAAACCTGATCTCTGAAACCCCCAAATAACATGACTATTCTAACAGATTTAAGGCTCTATAATCCTAACACACTAAATGTCCAAAGTTCTGAGACTCTAGGATTCTAACATTTTGGCATTCTAAACCACACCCCAACTGTCTGGTTTGACAGCTCTGGGGTTTTTGCCTTCCTGGATTCTGTGACCAGTGGTGGGATAGGATTCCTTTACATCTAGCTTTCTGTGATTCTGATACCGGGCTTCTGTGTTATTTTTCTTCTTTTTACCGCTGAGCCACATCCCCAGCCCTTTTTATTTTTATTTGAGACAGGGTCTCACTAAAATTGCTTAGGGCCTCACTAAGTGGCTGAGGCTGGCCTTGAACTCATGATCCTTCTGCTGCAGCCTCCTGGGTCACTGGGATCACAGGTGTGCACCACCACACCAGCCTTGAAATAATGATGTGGCACTCCACGAGAGCGAGCTGCAGACCCTTTAACCCTGAATCCTACAGCCTCAGAATAAGGCAGAACAGGAGGTGTGGCTGCTGGTAGAGTGCTCGCCTGGGCTCGATCCCCAGCGCTGAGAGAGATGAACAACGCACACGTTCTCCTGCATGAGCACGTCCTGATGATCACACTCGGGAAACTTAACTGCTGAATGGACGTGGTCCAGCCTCCAGCCCATGACTGTGTTTACCAGCGTCCCCATGTCATCCCACGGCTGTGTTCTTCCATTTTCCCACTCCGTCCATAACCACTGTGGCATTCGGCCGTCACGTTTGGTTGGTCTCCTCCAGTCTGGATGAGCTTCTGTGACTTTTGTGTCCCTGGCCCTTCTGAAGATGATTGGCAGTTGCTAGAACAGCCCTTGGTTGAGTCTGTCTCACGTCTGCTCACGGTTAGACTCAGCTGCGCATCTCTGGCCGAAGTGCATGGAAAGGTGCCGTGTCCTCCCTGGTACACTGTCTCAGGAGGCACATGTCACCTGCTTGTCCTTCACTGGGGTTCTCCAGTTTAACTGTTTGGCAAAGCTGATGCTAAATTCGCCACATTCTGCTATTTGAATTTCTAACATTCTGGGGATTTAGAGTCCTAAGATTCAAGCATTAATTAATATGCATCTGTCACTTGCTAACTTCTGCGAGTGCTTCCACGGGGCCTGCAGGGGCCTCCCTGAGGTTAACTCTGTCCTCTGCACAAGGCTAGCAATTAGACCCTGTGATTAGCTCCATTTTATAGATAAGAAAACTGAGGCTGAGGGCTGCAGATCAGCGGCTGTGACCATCACACAGCGGGCGGCTGGCAGCAGGTCAGCCCACCTAGCATGGAGCCACCATGGACAGCGAAGCCTGCTGCTTCCACAGCAGGAATCCCCTTGTCCCTCCACCCCAGGTCTTGCCACCTGCTTCTGCACCCCTGTCTCTTTGCCAGGACCTTGAGGTCCCTTGGTCCTTCCCACAGAACTGAGCTTCTCTTGAAGAACTGGAGCCCAGAGGTCCTTTATCACAAAGGTGGTGATGCAACAAGACCCCTCACCAGGCTCACAGCGCCTTCCAGTGTGACACGGAGCCCCTAGTGGCAGGCTGGAAGGGACTCCGGGGAAGTGACAGGTTTTGAGTCATGTCAATGTCTGCAGTTCTACCAGGAGGAGCCCACTCCTCAGGCTATCACTGCCTGCCCACCGCCAGAACCCAGGCCAGCTCCCGTCCCTCCCCAGTCAGAAGACTCCCATGGCTCTGCCTCACTCAAACCTGGCGTCCTCACCGAGGCCCCACGAATCCATCCCGTCAGCCCCTCGCTGTTTCTTGAAACCCAGCTCAGCTCCCGCCTCAGGACACGCGGCCCACCTGCTCGCCTTCCCAGGAGTCCTGCCCTGAATCCCCCGCAGCTCCCCCATCGCCTCCAGCTCTGCTCACAGGGGCTTCTCAGAAGCCCCCCCCCAGGACACCTCCCTTTCCCCTCTGGATACTCACCCTCTGTTCAGCGGCACCCTGTCCCCGGGGGCTCACTCTCCAGGCTGCCCTGACGCAGCTGGGCCAGGCAGGGTGTCTGATCTGCTTTAGCTGCTCTTGCCCACGCTGAGACCAGGGCCTGGCACACAGCAGGTGCTCAGTTAGTGTGTGGTGAGTAAAAGAACAAGCGTGTAATTGCCACTGAGTGTGTACTTGTCGCTGCGGTGCAACTCTCCTGTGGGGCTGGGAGCCCCGTGAGGACAGGACTTGGTCATGGCTGTGTCCCTTGTGCCACTCAGCACAGGGCACAGCAGCTTGGGGAGTATCTGTGGGACAAATTGATGAAGCTGAGTTAAGGAATGTAGACTTTCTCTTGGGGACATGTGAAAACACAATAAGATTTTGTTTTGTTTCTGTCAGAGGAGTGACAAGGCGGTCCCACGGTCCCTAAATCCCTGCTTCTCAGAGTGTGGCCCCAGTACCAAACCATTCACACCCTCTGAAGCTCCTGAGAGATTCAGAACCCAGAAGCCCAGGCAGGAGCTTCTGAACCAGAATTACAGTTTAGGAGACCAGGGTATCCACAGGCACCCCGAGGTTCAGGAAGCAGCTGGAGAGCACCCCCTCTCTCAGCTCTGGGATTTCCCATGTTGCCCACAGCTTGCCCAGAACACCTCCTTCTGGGTTAGGTCGTCTCCCCAGAAGCCTGCCCTGATCTGTCCCTCAAGACCTCCAGGTGGGAGAGACGCACTCGGTCTTGCTCCCCTGCTCCGCCGCCCCTCCTGCAGGAAGCCCACCCCGAACCCCCCTACAACACGCTGTTGACCAAGCTCTTCCCTCTCGCCCCTCCCGGCCGCAGCGAGGGCACGCTGGTGTTCAAGCCAGGCGAGACGCAGAAGGAGCTGCGCATCGGCATCATCGACGACGACATCTTCGAGGAGGACGAACACTTCTTCGTGCGGCTGCTGAACCTGCGCGTGGGCGACGCGCAGGGCATGTTCGAGCCTGACGGTGGGGGGCGGCCCAAGGGGCGACTAGTGTCGCCGCTGCTGGCCACCGTCACCATCCTGGACGACGACCACGCGGGCATCTTCTCCTTCCAGGACCGCCTGCTGCACGTGAGCGAGTGCATGGGCACCGTGGACGTGCGCGTCGTGCGCAGCTCTGGCGCGCGTGGCACTGTGCGCCTCCCCTACCGCACAGTGGACGGCACGGCGCGTGGCGGCGGCGTGCACTATGAGGACGCCTGCGGCGAACTTGAGTTCGGCGACGATGAGACTATGTGAGTGCGTTGGTCCGTGGCAGGTACCCCAGGTGGATGGGGAAATGGCGGGAGAAATGGACTTGGCTGGGGGGAAGGGCATGGCTGTGGAGGCAGGGCGGGGCCTGGGTGGGCGGGGCCTGGGAGATGGACTTGGGGGGAAAGGGCGGGCCTGGTTGTGGGGGCAGGAGGGGACCTTGGGCTTGGGCAGGACCTCGGGAGGGGTGGGGCTGCAGAGATGAGGTGGGATCTCGGGCCGTGATGAGATGAAGGACAGGGTTTGGCCCAGAGAACTGTCTAGGGTCCAGCGACAACAGGGACCAGGGGTGGTAGAGTGACAAGGGTGGACAGGTGAGGAGAAACTGGAGAGCCGGAGAGGGTGTGGCGAAGGTGGTGGTAGCTGGAGGAGACGCAGTGTGGCCATCCAGGGGATGAAGGCAGGGCCCTGTGGAGCCGGGTCGCTGTCGGTGGAGACGGAGCGGGGGGCTGAAGAGGATGTGAGGTCCCCGTGGGAACTAGAGGAAATAGTTGCGGGCTGCGGAAAAAGGTGGCCCCAAGGGACGGCAGGGGCCTGGGGAGGCGGGGCTCGCGGGCGTGAGCAGCAACCTGGAGAAGTGAGAGGCCTACGGGCAGGAGTGGGGGCCCTGGAGGAAGGGCCGGGTCTGGGAGGCGGCTGGGGGCGGAGACGCATGGGCCGCGGGTGGAAGCAGGACACGCATTGATGCAGAGCCCTGTAGACAGACAGACAGACCCAAGCTAGAGAGCAACGGCTGCCTGGTCGTGCCCAGGCCCCCTGGCCGCGCCCCCTCACATTGAGGCCCGAGTCTCTCCTGAGGTCCTGCCGCCTTACCTCCCCCACCCGCCTGCCTGCCGGGAGCAGCCGCACCTCCCGCTCCTTTGCCCGCGCGTCCGCCCCCGCACACCCGGCTGTCTCCCTCCTGCACGCCGCCCACGCGCCTCCCGCCCGTGGAGCCCCCACCGAGCCTCTCCCTCCTCCTCCCGGCCTCCGTGCCTCCGCGTCGGACCGCGCTTGTCTCTCATCTCTCCCTTTGCATCTCTGCATCTCGGGCTTCCCAGGAGCGCTTGCCCTCTCTGGGTCTCTGGGCTTAGTTAATCCCTGGCTCTGTGGGGAGTATCTGGTTCCCTGTCTCTGACACAGACTCTCCATACCTCTTCGCTGTCTCTGGCTCGTTTCTGTCTTGCTGGGAACTTGGGTTGGGGGTTTCTGGGAGCCTCGTTTCAGCCCCATCTCACATCCCAGAGGGAAAGGAAATGGGGGGAGTTGTTTCTGCTGTTTTGGTCCTTCCTGAAGTCTAACCTGCTTTCCTCCTCTATGGGCCCTTTCCTCCCCCACAGGCTTCCCCAGGCTGGGACACCCTGTGTCCCCCACCCCCGCCCAAGTTTCCAGCTGTGGCTTCAAGAAACAGAGAACAGGAGGCTAATTAGCGTTTAGGGAAACACATGCTTCCTCTGATGGGCAGGCGCTAATTAGAAGCACTTTGAAGTAGCCAGGCTGGAGGGGAGGCCCAGGCAGGATCAACAGAGCGGGAGGCAGGAAGAGACGGAGGCAGACAGAGGAGACCCTGAGGAGGAAACAGGGAGGACAGTTTCAATGACAGTCAGTCATTGTGTGTCAGTGGATCATAGTGTGTCTGTGAGAGTGCGTGATGGAGATGTGTGTGTGTCACCATGTCAACATGTCACCATGTCAGTGATTGTCACGGGTGACAACGTGTCAAGAGTGAGGATGTTTTCCTGGGAGATCCGTGTTTCAGCACCACGGACAGCACCTGGCCCACTCCCAAGGTCCCAGGGTTGCCATTTCTTCTGACCCATAGGAAAATTTAAATCTCCCCAAACCAGGAAGGTGGACCCTGGCGTGTGTCCCCTGTGACTGTAACCCCAGCAACTTGAGAGGCTGAGGAAGGAGGATCCCAGGTTCGAGGCCAGCATGGGTTACATAACAAGAGCCTTTCTCAGGGCTGGGGAGTAGCCCTGTGGTGGGGCACCCCCAGGTTCATCCCCAGCACCCCACACAAGCAGATGCAAGAGAAGGGAAGATGGCAGGGGGGGGGGAGCCGACAGGATTGGAGCAGGAAGGGGGTGGAGACCAGAATGCAGAGACACGGCACAGAGAAGGGGACCTCGGGAGCCTCGGTGGTACCACAGCGAGGCCTCAGGTTGGCGCTGTCACCCGGCCGCGGGGGTGTCCTGCTAACTAACAGGCAGCTGGCCTGTGGATCTCGCCACACATCGGGAATGGCAGGGGGTGCTGGCGGGGCGTGGGCGGTGTGACTGGCTGTGCTTCCTCTCTGGGGACGACGGGGGCTGGGTGTTTGTGTTGCTGGGTGCTGGGCCAGGCCTTGTGGGGCTACAGGTTCCACAGCTGAGAGAGTTGTAATGGCCGAGCTGCAGAATTCTGGGATTGTGGGTCCTTGTGATTGTGGGGGGAAGAGGTGAGTTGTGTACCCTGAAGGGAACGGTAACGTCTGGCTGTCCCCAGCCTCACCTGGTTCCCATGGGAGCAGAGGCAGAGACAACCGAGTAGCCCTTGGGTGACCCTCGGGGGGTGGCCAGGAGGGGAGCAGGAAGCTGAGGCTGGTCTGCACGGAGGGACTGAGTTAGCAGGGTGTCCACGGAGGACGTGCCCGTGCAGGTGCCAGGTGCAGCAGAGACCGAGGCAGGTCACCTGGTGGAGCTTCCATTTCAAAGCAAGGAGACAGACGGCAAGCAAACAAAATCAGTGTGTCGCAGGGTGTGTTAGGAAGTGACGTGGAGACCAGGGCAGAGCTCTGTGAGGGCCCGGGGCCCTGGGCAGGGACAGCGAGGGGTGTCAGCACTGGGGTGGTGGGAGGGGGCTTCATGGAGGGGGTGAAGTCTGAGCGGAACGCTGCAGGGAGGAGGCGTGACCTGGGAAGCACTTTCTGTCTGGGGAGCCAGGAGCGGCCTGCCGCGGGGAGGTGGAGTGGGCCGGCCAGAGAGGAGGCGGCCGGCTCCACGGAGTCGAGTGGACATTCGAGACTTTGGTTTCATTCTGAATGAGTTGGGGGCCAGGCACACGTTTGAGCAGAGGAGGGACCCCATCTGACCAGGTGTTTGCTGGGATCCCTGTGGCTGTGTTGAGCACTTGGTCTGTGGGTGGTGGCACCAAGGCACAGGCTTTTGTAGGAGGGGAGCGCAGCGTCCAGGTGGGCATCGATGGCGGCTGGGCAGCAGTGGAGGAGATGGCCACCCAAGCCTCGGGGAGGGGCTGGGACTCAAGGTTTTGAGGGAGAAAAGTTCAAGTTGGTCTCCTCGGCAACTCTATTGTCTGAGATTGTCTGCTTGGTTTCCCCCTCGGTGCCTGGGTGTGACTCCAGCAAATGGGCACAACAGCAAGTCCCCTCCTGGGCGTGTGAGGGCTAAAGGAGGCCATGGCCTGGGATGCAGGAGCTGCCCGGGCGGGCTGGGAGGAGGCTGCGGGGCCTGGGAGGGCTTGACGCTGGTGTCCCGCCTCGTGCTGCCAGGAAGACCCTGCAGGTGAAGATCGTGGACGACGAAGAGTACGAGAAGAAGGACAACTTCTTCATCGAGCTGGGCCAGCCCCAGTGGCTTAAGCGAGGGATTTCAGGTGAGAGGGACGCGCGGGCTGTGGGAGAAGCAGGGTCCAGGGCTGGGGGGTCCTTGGGCTCATCTGCGGGCGCCCTTCAGCTGTGAACCCAAGCTCTGCGGGGACGTGGTCTCACTGTCTCCCTGTCTCTGTCTCTCCCCAGCTCTGCTACTCAACCAAGGTGAGTCGGGCACCCCGGGCCTGAGCGGGGAGGGGCCGCTGGGGGGCCTGCGGGAGGGGTGGGGACCCAAGGTGGGGTCCGAGGAGGCTGCAGGTGAGCTGGGGTTGGACTGGGGCCAGGGCTGGGGCCACACACTGGGCCCCCCTCAGCTGGGGTCAGCGTGGGGGTGTGGAGGTCAGATTTGTATTCGTGGTCAGGTTGGGGAGAAGCATAGAACCCGATCCGGCCCTGCTGGGGGAGGGGGAGTCAGGTTTGGGATGGCCAGGACCGGGTGGAGTGGAGACCTGAGAGCAGTGTCCAGCTGGGTCAAGGTGAGAGGCCAGCCAGAGGCGGCCTCCAGGGCCTGTGTTGGGATTAGATTAGAGCTGGGTCCAAGCTGCAGCCCAAGTCCCATGTGAGTCCTCAAGGTTGAGGGGTTGGGGTTAGACACGGGTCAGCGTCACAGACGGGCTGAGAACTGGGCTAGGGTCAGTGGCCTGGAGATAGCAGTAGTCGCCTTGGAGTGAGGACCAGAGTTGGGCCTGTGGGTAGACGGCAGAGTGGGTAACAGGAGCCTCTGTAAGGGAACGCTCATCCCAGAACTCGACCCCACGTCACTGTGTCTTGCCCAGGCAGTTTTGTGAGTGTGCCTGGTTGATGGGTGGCCATCTCCTTCCATCCTGTGCCTTTGCCACACTGGGGCCCTCTGCTTCCTGCTGGATGACAGGGCAGGAGAGTTTGGAGGCCCAACTGGGAGGTTTTCAAGGGCCAATTGTCCATTCCTTATGCCCTCATCCTATTGGCTGCCCTGCGGTCACATGACTATACCTAGCTGCAAGGAAGGCTGGGAAATGTAGTTCAGCTCTTTCCTCAGTGGAGAACTGTCTCTGCCAGGTGGTCACATTCTTTATTAGTGGTTTGGGGTCACGTGTGGTGCTGGAGTTAGGTCAGGGGTTGGATTTGGGATTTTGCTGGGGGGTACCAATGGGCTAGGTGATGGGCAATGTTGGAGTTGGGATGGGGTTAGGGAGAGGGTTGGGTTGAGGTCAGATCTGGGGTTGTGGGTTGGGGTTTAAAGTCAGGGTTGTGACAAAAGACTCACATATGGGGCCACAGTTTGAATCAGACTTGCAGGTGGGGACCAGAGCTGGGGTTGGCTTGGTGTGGGCTTGTGGTAAAGGGCCTCAGACCCAGGGCTTAGGGTGAGTTTGGACCCAAGATTTTACCAAAATCAGGCATCTTCCTGTTTCCTCCCACCTAAGACACTCTCTAGGGTGTCCCCAGAGCCTGGCTGTAGAGACCAGGCTGCCTCCCCAGGGGTGGTGATGACGGCGATGTTGGTGATGATAGGAAAGGAAATGCCACTTATTGAGTAGCTTTTGCACGTCAGGCACTGTGCAAGCCCTACACATGAATTAAATCGCTTAATTCTCACAACCATCCTATCAGGTAGGTGTTCATATCTATTTTACAGATATGAAAACTGAGGCACAGAGAGGCAGAGGCACTGCCCAAGCTCACACAGCCTCCATGCTATGAACCCCAGAGCCTAGCAGCTGAACCTCATGGGTTTTAACACCAAGGGAATCCATGGAGGGAACTGGGAGGGATCACCAAAGAGGCTTCCTAGAGAGCAGAGAGCTTTTCTCTACTGAAGGGAACAGGTAGTCAAAGCATCGAAGGCCACTTAGGCAGGCCTCCTGGGAGTCTTATCCCAGTCCCTCATGCTGCAGGGGATGGGGACAGGAAGCTGACAGCCGAGGAGGAGGAGGCCCGGAGGATTGCGGAGATGGGCAAGCCAGTGCTGGGGGAGAACTGCCGGCTGGAGGTCATCATCGAGGAGTCCTACGACTTCAAGGTGACTTGCTGGGGCCTCACCGTCCAGGAGTCTGGCCGGGGTCACTTCCTTGGGGAAGGTCCAGAGAGGGAGGAGCCACAGCCGTGCTCCAGGGCAGTGTCAGCACCATGGACAGCACCCCGCTTGTTAGTCCAACTGGGCTGTGGGGGGCCGCGGAGGACAGGACTGGGAGCATGGGGGAGTCGCCAGTCCCTCTGCCCCCCACAGAGCCACCCGGTGCTCCTGGGCAGTGATGGCTGTCCCGCCTTCTCGTCCCCAGAACACAGTGGATAAACTCATCAAGAAGACAAACCTGGCCTTGGTGATTGGGACCCACTCCTGGAGGGAGCAGTTTTTGGAGGCCGTCACAGTGAGCGCAGGTAAGTGGAGAGGAAGGGAGGAAGGGGGTGCAGAGACGGAGTGGGGGAGAAACAGCAGATGGAGAGAGGGACAGGGACAGAGGGACATGACAGGAATTGGCCCCAGAGAGGCAGACAGAGAGAAAATCAGAGAGGTCCAGAGAGACAGAACAGAAACAGGAGAAACAGACACAGATGCTCACCGGAAACCAGAGAAGGCGGGAGACGGAAGCGTGAGACAGAGGGCCCTGGAGTCCCAGGGGGAGACACAAACAGGACAGAGGTGGAGAAGGCTGTGGCAGAGGCTGGCTGGTCAGGGTTTGGCTTTGGGCCCAGGGGACTCATGGCGGCCTGCGCTTTCTCCTGGTGGTGAGCATCAGGCAGCCGGGTGGTAGGGACAGGGGAAATGGTGTGGCCCCCCAGACAGAGCCTGGGCTCCCCGTTGCTATGGAGACAGTCACTAGGCTCCCATCTCTCCCACCTGCACCTGCCCACCCTCGTCAAGCCGCACATGGACCCGCAGCGCCCCCGTGTGGCCGTAGACAGAACGGCATGTGGGTCCACAGAGAGGCGCTGGGGCTGGCCCTCTGCCATGCAGATGCGGAGGATCTCGCAGCTGGAGGAGGATCTGGCCTGAGTCCCACAGGGTGTCCAGACAGGGGCCAGGGCCAGAGCTCAGGGCTCTGTCCTTTACACAGCTTCAGGTTTCCTTCAGGGAGACCCCAGCTGGTGGGGCCTGAAGCAGAGGAGCCAGGCTTTGGGAAGGGGAAGTCCCCGACCCAGGCCTAGAGACGCCGCAGGCTGCAGACCTGCGGGACCATGGCCTCTCCCTCTGGAGTAGGCTTCTTTCAACACGTTTCCGAGGGTCCTCTGGGACATTGCTGGGGACACAGAAGGGGCCATGACAGCCCTGGCCCTGTCCTCATGGAACTCACAGTCCAGTGAAGGAGACGGACGTGAGACACGGGGGAGCCCTGCCCCAGAGGTCGGAGAAGCCCTCCCAGAGGAGGAGGTACCAGGCTGTGTTCAGATGGGAGAGAGCCCGCAGCGCAGCTCCCCAGGCAAGGCACAGCCTCGTGCAGAGGCCTAGACGTGGCCGGCGATGGCGGGTGGAGAGAGGGACCTGGTGCCGGGCATAAGGCAGATAGGGGATGCAGCTAGAGGCGGTCGAGTCTGGGTTGGAGGGCACTAGGGAGCCATGGCAGATTTTGGAACAGGGCAGGGAAAAGCCCAAAGTGAGGCAGCACCCTGTCCCAGAGCGTGGCCCCCTGCTCTGGCCTCAGCTGTCTCCCTGTGGTTTGGTTACAGATAAATTCAGCAGCAAACAGAAAACTCAACCACAGGTGGTGTAAGGCCACTGAAGATTACTTTTCTCATGAAAAAACCTGTAGCAGGCAATGAATCGGTGTAGCAGCTCAGTGGCGTTGCTGAACATCTGGCTCCTTTGCTTTCCTTCCCTTTTTCAGATTTTCCTTGTGGTTGTAAAATGGCTGCTGTGCCACCAGATGTCTAGTTCCTATTCCAAGCAGAAAGAGAGAGGAAGCAGGAAGGGGCAGGGAGTCTGAGTTTCCATTTTACTTGAGGTTGCAGCAAAACTTCACTCCCTGAGACAGTGTGCAGGAAGACCGCACAGACCACTCAGTTAAGCTCTTACAAATTCAAGCTTTGGTTTCTTTGATAGGCCAAGCAGCTGAGTAGACAGGACAGTAGAGAAGGGACCTGGGACCCCAGCACGGTCAGCTTCTCCCTGCCCCCCTCAGCAGGCGTCTCTGCTCACTAGCACTTTGACATCTTGGAAACAGATGTAGAGAGCCCGCAGCCTGAACCTGGGAGGAGCTCTGTCACAGCTGACCCAGCTCCCGCTTGGCTGGTGCGCTCTGAGTGTCCACTCCGGGCTTGTGATAGTGTTTGTGTCTTCCAGGTGTCCCTCCTGGGATGCACAGGCACGTCACCGAATGCTTCTCGCTTTAGGATGAGGTCACCCAGACATTTCCTTTGTGCTCTTACATCACGCAAGTCACTGCAGGCCACAAGCAGTTCAAATTAGGTCACGCTAGGTGACATACTATAAAAGCTAAAAATACAGCCACGCACAGCGCTCACATCAGAAACGCTTTCTAGAAACCCTGTTCATGTCTCACTGCCAGGCAAGGCAAGATGGCAACTGTTGCAAGGGATTCTGGGAAAGCATGTCTTTACATGGCTAGCTGCAAGGAATTCTGGGAAACAGAATATTTTTGTCTGAGGTCATGGTTTTTGCTAGCCTCAGGGGATTCTGGGAAGGTGACTAATTTTAGCTGGTGTGTGTCTCTTCTGCTGCAGGAGATTCTGGGAAAGTGAGTACTGTAGCTGAGAATGTGGCCACTTAGCTGCAGTGATTCTGAGGAGTGGATATTTTTAGCTAGAGATAGGGCCACCCTAGAGCAGGGGTCCTGGGAAGCTGGGTATTTGGGGCAGGGTCCATGTGGGATCCTGAGAAGTGAACGTTTTTGCCCAGGCTCATGTGCTCTCTGAGGGCAAGGGATTCTGGGAAAGTAGCTTTTCAGCTGTTGACCTGGCCGCCCTGGCCGCGGGGCCCAGGGAAGCAGTGAGTTTGGTGAGGCTCACTGTGTGGAGGGGCGAGGCCGAGGGAGGCGAGTGTGCCCAGCGGGGTCTGTGCTCACAGGGGACGAGGAGGAGGAAGAGGACGGGTCCCGGGAGGAGCGGCTGCCCTCCTGCTTCGACTACGTCATGCACTTCCTGACGGTGTTCTGGAAGGTGCTCTTCGCCTGCGTGCCCCCCACCGAGTACTGCCACGGCTGGGCCTGCTTCGGCGTCTGCATCCTGGTCATCGGCGTGCTCACCGCGCTCATCGGCGACCTGGCCTCGCACTTTGGCTGCACTGTGGGCCTCAAGGACTCTGTCAATGCCGTGGTCTTCGTGGCCCTGGGCACCTCCATCCCTGGTAACTCCCGAGCGAGCCCCTGGGGCAGGGCCACCCAGAGGGGCCCTGCAGAGATGAGGAGGGGTCCCTCAGAGCCCACCCTCAGTCCCTGAGAAACGGATTCGGGAATGATGGCAGCCAGGCAGGGTCCCTGGTGATGTGGGAAAGGCGTCCTCCCCAAAGCAAGCCGGCAGGACGTCAGGAGTGGCGTGGATTCCACAGAAAGGAGGCGGAGCTGGGGGCTGAGGGGTCCCTGGTCTCCACAGAGGCTCCCTGGAAGCAGTTCAGTGGCTCCACAGGGGGAGGACACTAGTGTCCCCTCCCTCAGGGAGCCAGGCAGAAGGTGGCCCGGGAGCTGTGGGCCTGAAGGCAACCAGCCGGCCCCGGGTGGATCAGAGCAGAGGAGCAGAGGGCAGGAGGGGCCAGGGCCAGAGACCAGGGTGGACCTCACCCACTTGGGGATGCGTCCCCACAGGAGCCACATCTCCTTCCCCTAAGGAAGGTCCCTCAGAAACAAGGTGACAAGACTGAAACTCTCCTGAGAGCAGGAACACCGGGGGCAGGGGCCTCACGCCTTTGTCGTCCATGTCCCTGAAGGCCCAGCGAGTGACCAGCGGGTGCCAGAGAGAGCAGGCAGTGGCTCTCCTAGGAAGCAGGCCCTGGAGCCCTTGAGCCAGGCAGCCCCAGAGAAAGGGGCCCGGAGCCCTAGAAACCAGGCATGCCCATGCACACCAGGCAGCAGTTCCACAGGAAGATGCAGGGATTCCCACAGAGTATGGAGCCCACTCAGTGCAGCCTAGTCCCATAGAAGCAGACAACAAATTTGATAGGAAGTATGCAGTGGAGCCCACTCAATAAAGACAAGTCTCATAGAAGCAGGTAGTCCCACGGGAATAGGCAGTGAGTATCAAGAGTATACAGTGGAGCCAATTGAATGCAGATGAGTCCAAGAGAGAAAGGGAATGGACATTACATAAAGTATGCATTGACTCCCACTAAATGTATACAATCCCAGAGAGGTATGCAGTGGAGGCCACTGAAGGCAGACAAGTCCCAAAAATAGAAGTAGTGAACCTCGAGGAGTGGAGGTAGTGGGATCCGTGAGTCCCCACAAGCAGGGCGTGTCTGCCAGTGCTCATCATCCCCACAAAGAAAAGGCAGCGAGTGCCATGCAAGTATGCAGTGGTGCCCACTGAATGCAGACAGGCCACATAGACGGCTCTGTCTCCAAGTGCAGGTGACCCACAGAAACCGCAGCAGGAGGCCCACTTCCAGTGGAGTCTCTGCCTCCTCTCGTGGACTCTGCCGGTCTCTGGGCCCCCGTCTTCCATGGGGCTCATTCAGTGGGCTCCATGAGCAGCTGTCCTGGGGACTCGCTGCCTCCTTTTATGGTAAAGGATGATGGCAGCGGGCCCCCTGCCCCCCCCCCCCAGGGGCCTCACTGCTCTTCCTACGAGGCTGAGGCTCGAGGCGGGCTCCATGCCAGCCTTGTTTTAAATCCAGGAGACAGGAGGGACCCAGGACCTCACAACCGCCTTGCCAGCGGGCTGTGGGGAGCATGCGCAGCCTGCCCAGCCCGCTTTCCCTGGGACCAGCAGCGTCTGGTTCAGCGGAGTCGCTGCAGCCTTCAGACTCCTGCCTCCCTCTCGGTTTGTCTGCACTTAGTAGGCTCCGCGGCCTGCTAGGTAAGAGATTCATGGCCTCTTTCTGTGGGACTTGCGGAGCACACTGAATGTAGCAAGTCATATGGGAGGCGCTGTGTCCCTGAGGCTGGCAGCGGTGCCTAATGAGTGCAGACAGGCCCCACGGAGCCGGCAGTGAGTCGGATGGAAGGTGCGCAGGGCACCCACTGATGGGAGGCCAGGGAAGGCAGCCCGCGGCCCTGCGAGACAGGAAGAGGAGCCCACTGAATGCAAACAGTGCCCAGGGAATGACCAGGGGTTCCATTCAAAGTAAGAGGGAAGCCGGTCACCGCACCCTGCAATCCCAGCCCCTTGGGATGCTGAGGCCGGAGGATCTCAAGTTCAAGGGCAGCCTCAGCAAGTTAGGGAGACCCCGTCTCAAGATGTAAAATAACTCGGGCTGGGATGTGGCTGGGGTCCGGGCCGGGGTTCAGTCCCCAGGGCAGCTGGATAAGTGAGGGCAGGCAGGGGCGCCCTGGCAAGGCGACTGTGCCCTGGGGAGCGAGCCTCCAGGGACTTCGCCTCCGGGTCCTGGTCTGCTTCCAGCTGCGCCCGCCGAGGGCCCAGGGTAGGGGGGTCTGCTGGAAAGCAGGCGGCGGGGGGCGGCGTGCTGGGCCCCTCCGACCGCGGTCTCTGCCCCGCAGACACCTTCGCCAGCAAGGTGGCGGCGCTGCAGGACCAGTGTGCGGACGCGTCCATCGGCAACGTGACGGGCTCCAACGCCGTGAACGTCTTCCTGGGCCTGGGCGTGGCCTGGTCGGTGGCCGCCGTGTACTGGGCGGTGCAGGGCCGCCCCTTCGAGGTGCGCACGGGCACGCTGGCCTTCTCCGTCACGCTCTTCACCGTTTTCGCCTTCGTGGGCATCGCCGTGCTGCTCTACCGGCGCCGGCCGCACATCGGCGGCGAGCTGGGCGGCCCGCGCGGACCCAAGCTCGCCACCACCGCGCTCTTCCTGGGCCTCTGGTTCCTCTACATCCTCTTCGCCAGCCTCGAGGCTTACTGCCACATCCGGGGTTTCTAGGGCCCTGCCTCCGCGGGACTCGGCTGCACCTGCTCTCGGACCCTCGGTCTCGTTCTCCAGACTCAGCTTGAACGCTGGGACTCAGCTCCTTCCTCCGCCAAGACAGGGCCGCCGCCTCCTGGGTTTCAGCTTCCCTTTTCCTGGGATCCCATTGCCCCCTGTCCTTTGTCCCCAGTGACTCAGGCCCCCCACCCCCCGAGTTCCCCTGCCTCCTCTGAGGAAAACCTCTGTTGTTACCCTAACTCCAGCCCACCCTGGTTGCTTACATCCCCGGGGAAACGTCCACCTCGAGGCCCCTCCCATAGAACCACCCCAGCGACCATTCCTCCAGAGAGCCCAGCGTCTCTTCCTCCCAGACGCCCAGCCTAACTGTCCCATAGTCTCCCTTCCCCCAACGACACCCCCCTTCAGTGCCCAGAACTTGCCCTTCCCGGGAAGCCTTGGCGGTGCGGGTCCATCCCAGGAGGCCAGAGCGCAGCCCTTCCCCAGCCCTCAGGGAGCCCAGTCGGCCCAAGGGGGCAGGTGGGTGGGTGTGCTAGGGGGTTCCTCCCCGGGGCTGCGGGAGGACACTGACCCCGAGCCGGGGAGGGAGGGAGAAGCCTGGTTTCCTCCCAAGGCTCCGGCTGGAGGAGGCACGACTCAACCCGCAACTTCTCACATTCCAGCGCCCTACTTGCCCTCCACTACCTCTGGGAGCCCAGCCACGCCTTGGAGGGAGGGGCCTGTGTGTGTATATAGTGTGTTTGGGGGAGGGGGGACTCGGGAGGGTGCATGTCTTGGGAAAGGGGTGACAGGCTTTCTGTTTCAGAGGGCAGCAGACTCCCTCAGCCTTGAGATCCGGCTTTGGGAAGGAGACTGGGGGTCAAAGGGATTCCAGCCCATCTCCCCTGACAATCTAGAAGGTTCATTTTGCCCTCAGTGCCAGCCAATTTGGGCAGGACCCTCGAAGAGGACCGAGGGTCCCAGAGGACCAATGCTACAAGCCAGCAAATGCTGCCACATCTCTGCCTGTTGGGGGGCGGGGTTGGTGTGGGTGGGAGGGTGGGGCCCAGGGTCAGGGTGGGCATTTTTAACTTTGGAGGTCACCCATCTGTTGGTAGCCTCCTGCATTTTCTTACTGTCCCTGTTTCCGGCCTAAAGGGCATACCTGGGATATGGGGAGTGTGGCCACTCCTTACGCCCCTAGGATGACCCTGCCACCCCATAACCTCGTGCTCCCCACGAGTTCTTCGCCTTCTGTCGTCCGGTTGTGCTGGTCTCCACACCCAGACTCACCCACCCCTCCTCGCCCTCAGCTCATCAGCACCCCTCACCGTTCTCTGTGATTCCGTAAAAGTTGCCATAAAATTTTGAAATTCTGCCTGAAAACGTCTTGCGGTGGGACGTTGGGATTCCAGAGGAGGGGGGGGATGAGGTGTTTGAGATGTGGGCAATTCTGATGGAGACCAGGTAATCTGGGCTTTTAGGGTCCCAGTCCTCTGGGGGAGACACGCGTCTACCCGCCGGCAGGAGGGCGGCTTCCATGGCCACGCCCCGTCCAACAACCCTCGCCTCATTAGCCACGCCCTGTTCCTCAGCCCCAAACTCTTCAGCCCTGGGATCGGTAGGGAGAGGGACCCCGGCTTGAGCCGAGGGCCGGGTGGGGGCTTCCTGATTAAAGCAGCTCTCAGCGACCTGGGGTCAGGAGGGTGCGCGCGGGCAGAGGCTCCGCGGGTGCAAAGGTGTGCAGAGCTTCGGGTGGTGGCTCCTCCGGAGACCTGCACGTTCGGGACAGTAGGAAATAAACCGGATGGGCGGGCCCGTGAAGAGGACCCGTCCTAGGTGAGGTTCCAGCAGGTCTTGCAATCGAAGAGCGAAGGGGACGCCCAGGGGGAGAGGCGGGCGGTGGCAGTTGGACCTCGTGGTCGGACGCTCCTCCCGCTCTCCGCGATGCCGAAGTTGGAAACCAGGTTGGCGCTGGAAGCGGGGAGGCTGGGTTGGGTGGCGGGAGTGCGAGGTGAGAAGCGGGAAAAGGGACCAGGCGGGCGAAGGGATTCGGAAAGAGCATCCCGGCGGGAAAAGGTGGCCAGAAAGCCTCTGGGAGAAGGACCGGCGGGCAGGGGGCGCCGCTGCCGTACCCAGGGCCGCGAGCAGGGGGCGCCGCTGCCGCCAGGGCGTGGGGCGCAGGGAGCGGTCCTCGCGGCTGAGACGCGTGGCTGCGGCTTTGGCCAAGGACAGGAGCGCAGGTGTCGCCAGCCCACGCCCAGCGGGGAGGGCCCGGGACAGGCAGCACCCGGGCCTTACCTGCCCCCTCCCACCGGTCCCCTGCTGCCGCCTCCCTCTGGTGAGCCCAGCCCACGCCCAGGTGGAGGGCCGCCCAGGTGCAGGGCCGCAGGTGTGGGGCATGCCGGCGCCAGGCCATGGAGCCGGAGGGTGGAAACGGGTCGAAGCGGGAGGGGTGGCCTGCAGGAGAGTCCCCAGGTGAGGTCGCTCCCAGGCTTGGGGAACAGGTGGTTCACGCAGAGGGAACAGGAGGGGACAGAGCAGGGACACTTGCAGTTCAGGAGAGGGGGATTTGAGTTTGGGGATTTGTCAGCAAGGTGGGGCGGGCTACCTAGGAGGTCTGTGACATCAGCGGGACCTTGAGACGCCCCACCTGTAAAGGGCCCATGCCAGGCCAGAGAGCTGTAGGCAGAGAAGAAAGCAGAGAGGGAGGAAATAAACCAGGTGACAGGGACCCCCAACGCCAAGAGACACGTGCCCAGGATGGGGACGTGGCCGGGGGACCAAGTGGAGACTGGTGGAACTTGGTGAAGGATTCAGGGACATGAGAACTAGGAAGGACCTTTGGATTTCCGTCTTGATTAGGGCAGTTTGTTGGAGGGTGTGGGGCAGAATTAGGATGGTCTGGAGTGGGGACAGAGAGTTGGGGACATTGAGGCCATGTAGACAGCTCTTTGAGTAATCTTGATGTGGAGGACAGAGGAAGATTCGGGGTGGGAGGGGGCTTGTCCCCAGGGTGGGAGGGGCCATCCAGCAGGAGGCATTGGCAGAAGAGAAATGGAGGAGTGGCTGTCGTGGGAACAGTGCCACAGTAACGGCCTGTGCCAAGCCCTGTTCGGGCTCCGCCTCGGCACAGTTGAATCTCATGAAATCCACCTTGGTGGCATGAACCACCCCACTCCCCAGGGGCTCAGAGAGGTGGAGCAGCCTGACCAGGGTGTCACAGCAAGGAAGGACAGAGGTGGGAGACAATGAGGCCTGGGGTGCAGAGGGATACTTCCACCCTAAAAAGGGGGGTGGGCCTAGAGACCAGGAAAGTTCCAGTCTTTCGAGCAAGATCTTGGCTTCAAAGAGTGGCGAGCCTGGAACTTGGCAAGACTAGGAATGTCACACAGGTCCCTTGTCCCAGCCCAGATGTTACAACTCCCACTCTGATGCAGAATGCAGGGGTCAGCTCAGGAGTGACTTAAACAGCCCTGGGAGGCGGCACAGCATAATGACTTGACTTCTCTGTGCCTCGGTTCCTGAACCTGGGAAATAGGGCGATCCTGCTGCTGATGGTCACTTCTTCACAGGATTAAATGAGCGTATAATAGAGAAGTTTTTGCACCCAGTAAACAGGAACAGTGATCCTTTCCAGTGGTCCCACTTGCATGTTCCCTTGTCTGTCTCTCCCTCTCTGTGTCTCATACTCCCCTGCAACTGTCATCCCAGGGGGCAGTCACCTGTCTGTTGCTCTGAGCCAGACAGGGGCCCTCCTTCTGAGCCAGCCTCTCACCAATCCCCTGGGCCACTCAGTGCCTTCTGAGCCTCTGCTACACTCCACACCACAAGTTTTGTTACTGGTCCTAAATCTTCTTCCCTTCCCCATGCCTGCCCTCCATTCAGGAGTGGCCATGCAGCTTGCCTCAGCCCAGGTAAGAGGGCAGAAGTGAGGTGTGACCTGGGTGGAAGCTTTAAAGTCAGCACGTGGTCTGTGTCTCTTCCCCTTTGGCCATGACGATCCATGATGGGTCCATAGTCACATGCTCTAATAGCCAGGGGGCCCCACAATGATGGTAACAACCTCATAGTGCAATCAAGCTATGCACCTTTCTTCCCTTTAACTGAGATGTTGGGGTTGTTTGTTACTGTATCGCAGCACAGCCTATGCTGACTGCCACATCTACTTCCGTGCAATCTGTCAGTCAGCTCCTCTGTGCGAACTCAAGAACCTGCACAGATGCCAAGGGAATAGATTAATGAGGATTCCGAGCCAGAGCCCATGGCACCAAAAAAGTCCGTGGACAAGTCCCAGGAACTCCCCGAGGAGAGAGGCCGTAACATTCACTGTACTTTCAAATTGATCAGTGACTTAAAATATCCCAGGATGTTGATTCTGGAGTCAGACTGTCTGGGTTCAAATCACAGCTTCACTATTCATCAGCTGTGCTGCTATGGGCAAGTTCCTTAACCTCTCTGTGCCAACTTGGGGAAGTTAACCTCCTTGACTTCATCTGTAAGATGAGGACAATGACAGATCCCACCATGCTGGTGCGCTGTGATGATCAGGGAGGTGAGCCATCTGCACACCTGCCCCGGACCTAGTGAGGGCACCAGCACCCACAGGGCCTCCACCCCATCCGCTCCTCCGCTGGTCCTCATCTGCATTAGCCAATGTCATCTGTGGTGGCAGATAAACTGCAGATTCTCGATGGCTCCAGATGATCAAGGCCTGTAGTGACAGTGGTCAGGCAACTTCCCCAGGACGCTCCTCTCCTAGGTCCCGGGAACAGTCTCCCCTCGGCCCACAGTGGGTCTCTCTCCCCCTCCCTCCTTTGCCTTCTCCATCGGGACCTTCCCTTCCTCCCTCTGTGTTCCCAAAGGTCTTCCCGCCTGTGTGTATCTGTTATCTGCTGCTGAGTAACAAACAGCCCCTCCCCTGGGGCTTGGAGGCTGGAGGCAGCTGCGTATGGTCTCTCAGGAGTCTTGGTGTTGGCCATTAGTTCTCCCGTGCCACGTGGTGCCCCTGAGGTCACTCCTGTGCATTCTGGAGCTGGGCTGGGGCTAGAAGGTACAAGACGTGCCCCCCCGGGTGGCAGCTGGAGCTGTCTGTCCCCTGCACAGCCCTTTAGGCTGCGCTGACTTCCATCTGGCACAGGGTGAGGTGCCACCATGCCTCTGTACCACCTTCAAAGTTCATCACTTCTTTTTTTTCTTTTTTTTGGTACTGGAATTGAAAGCAGCGGCACTGAATCACTGAGCCTCACCCAGCCCTTTATATTTTTTATTTAGAGTCAGGGTCTCGCCAAGTTGTTTAGGGCCTCACTAAGTTGCTGAGGCTGGCTTTGAACTTGAGGTCCTCCTCCCTCAGCCTCCTGAGCCGCGTGTGCCACTGCGCCAGGCTCAGGCTCATGTCATTCCTGATGGTCAAAACAAGTCACAGATTCCAGGGGAGGGAAGACAGATGTCCCCTGGTGACGGGCAGCATGTGCAAGGGGGGGGGGGCAGGGGAAGGAGGGAGGTGGTGGCTGTTCGTGGTCAGCCAAATAGAGCTCCCCAGGAGGCATCCACTCCTGGCCTCCAGGACAAGGGTGTTGCCTTATGTGACTGGAAGGATTTTGCGGGTGTCACTAGGGGTCGTGGGGCAGACACTTGTCCTAAAGTGTCCAGGCTGTCCCTCTGCGTTGTGGCCACAGACGTCCTCGTGAGAAGGCGGCAGAGGGAGGTTCTGCTGCGCACAGAGAAGGGGATCTGCAGGTGGAGCCCAGGAGGCTGGCCCAGGCTGGCCTTGAAGACTGGTGAGAGGCAACGGGAGCCAAGCAGTGCCAACTTCCAGAAGCCTCCAGGAGCTAGAAAAGGCCGAGGACTGATCTTCCCAGAGCCAGCAGAAGAAAGGTGGCCTGTCCCCAGCTCGGTTTGACCCTGAAGTTCATGCTAATTTGCTGCAGGGGCTCTGGCCTCTTGGCCCCTCTGTACCTCCAAGTCTGTTCTTAAGTCGTGATGAAACCCACCACAGCGGCCCCTGGAGTACGC